CACGTGAAAATTTATAGCAGCTAAATACTCTTCGTGAATGTTCTTAAATGTGGAGGGGAAAAAACCGGAGGACCAGGAGAAATATCCACGCGACCACGGGGAGAACATCAAACTCAAAATATACAGCAGGTGTCAGGGTCAGGATCGAACCCACGACCTCCCGTATACCGGGCGAGGTAGTTAACACCTCGACGCCACTGCACCTCTAACGGTGCGGCTGGTATTGCCGAGCATCGCCTGCTGCATGGTTGACCGACTGCGCGTGCTGGAGTGGGGGGGGGGACATGCCACGGAGCTACGTGCGCCGTGGCTACATCTCACATTGTCTCGGCAAAAAGGTCACGGGCGCTAGCCTGGGGTGCGGCTCCTGCACCACGCTGCAGGCTTCACGACTTGTTGCCAAATCAAGGGGAAGATTTTTTGGGCCAGCGGTCCCACGAAGCCATTGTATGCCCCGGGAGATGAGCAAACAAGGCTGGCCAATCCGAGGATGTCTCCTGCACCGCGCGCAGAGAGCCGACGTAACCAGGATAGCCCACGCAAGCTGTTGGGACAAGTGCCGTTAAGCCAGCAGCACCTGTGAAGGCCCGCATGGCAAACGAGGGGCTGGTGTGGCTCGCGCCACACCCTGGCCACCTCTCTCTCCCCGGTACCGATGTTTACACTGCACCAGGATTTGGTCTTCCTCGGGGAGCCCCAGAACCGGTTCAGATATTCACTGCCGGGTGTTAGCCTTGGCCGCAAGTCCAACTCGGGGTGCCGAGTTGCCCAGCCCTTCATATTAGGGAAGGGTCGACGGAAGTGGATGTCACAGAGCCATCTCTTAAGATCCTTTCAAGTGACCTCCGTTCTACACAGTGGAGGGCAGTGCTCTCATATTTTACTCACTGATATTAATGTTCATTGTACGACAGTCATAAATTCTGAAAGAAATTCAGCGCAGAACCAAATTTTCAATCATTGGTGACCATCAACTCGCTACATTTGAAAACCCAGTTTAACCAGAGGCGCAGCGGCTGAAACCTGAATTCGAACCCAGGATCTCAGCGCCCCTGACCTCTGAGGCACCACCCGGCCACGGCCGTGCTTCTCGCTTGAGCTGCGAGAAGCACGGTCGGCCTTCGCCGACCGGCAGCGACAGCAACGACGGCAGCCGGCCTGGTCTGGGGTCCTCGCGGCACGGCGCTCGGGAGAGCCGCACACTCCGCCAGAGTCGGCGCGCCGACCTACGGCTCGGGGTGAAACGTGGAGATTTACGAGCTCTCACGTGAATCCGCTCGCGTGAATCCTGCATTTGAATTTTCGCGTGTGAAGCTCTCAAAATGCGGGCGATTCTCCCCTCTGGAGATTCCCGCGCTCGAGTTATTATAGGCGGATCAAGCGGGTTACGGTCGAGGGAGAAATAAAACAAGGTTTGGTACGGGTTCACGGCATGCACCCGCAGGGCACGCGTTCCCAACACCGCCGTCAGATATTGGAGCTCGCCCCTGCGCTCTTAAGCGGGTTACAGGTAGAGGCCCGGGCTAGGCCGTGGCAAATCTAACAACAGAAACACAGCAGAGCCTCGAACTTAAAATTGGACCCTCCCCCCCTCCATCGCCCGTGCGCCACTCCACTCCCGCAGGGCCGGGCGGTGCGTGCTGTTTGGCGGTGGGTTTATCACGAGAAGGCCCTTGGCCACGCTCGTGGTTTAGGAGCTCGGCGCGCACACCCCTGGGTACACAAGTCGGGATTATTGGTATGCCAGCACGCCCAAAATTGCTGCGCCCGGTGTACAACGGTGTCCGCATTTCACTCCCCATCACCATGCACCCCCTTCCCCCCCCCCCTCTCGAGGGTGGGGGGGCTGACTTGCGGAGCCACCTTTCCATCTGTGCCGTGCCCCCCCCCGCGCCCCCCAGCACCTTCCCGCCCCCCGACCCCCTGGACTCGCCACCTTCTCCGCCCCCACCCCAGCGCAGTCGAGATTTGACCCACTTGATCTTTTCTCATCTGTTAAGAAGGTGCGCCCAATCAATACCGCCAGGGCGCTGTCAAGGGCGGCAGTTATTAAATTATTACATTATTTGTGCGTTTATTTACGGACTCCTATACCCCCCCCTCCACCCCGAAACCCCCCACCTACTCCTCTGAGCGTTTGCCGCTACAAGGCGGCGCTCGCGTTGTGCGCACGTGCTCGTGCGTACTGATTTTTGCTTTATTGCATTATTAATAACAACTATTGCGGCACTCGAGCTGCCGCACGAAGATGAAACCGATTATTTAGTTTTTTAATTCTCTCGTTTGGATTGGATATTGATTGGAGCGTAAATATATTGCAGGCGGGTTGACAGCGACTTGGAGGAGGTGCTGGGGGGAGGACCTTTATTTTGAAAGGTCCCGCGAGCTTTTGAATTTGAAACAGAGTTTCCGCCGTCCACGCGCTAATTATTCACTTCTTAAAGGTCACGGCAAATTTTTACCCGTGCAAATTTCTGCACGTTGCAACATTACAGGAGCCGCGCTGGATTACGGTTAATAAGGCGGCCAATGTTTGGGTTTAATTCTCTTTGAAAGTGTGCGTTGGAGCTTTGAGGTTAAATCGGCGATTAGAAAGAATCCGCGTTAAATTGGTTACACGGAATTCGGCGTTAGATGTAACGCGAAATGCTAATGCCATCATTTTTTGCGCAGTACCGGTAAATGAGACAATCCTGCTCGGCGCAATTATTTAACGATTATTTAAATGTTGTGAAAGCAGTGGGGGTGGGGGGGGGGGGGTGTAGCGCGCTGTCCACTGAGACGAGGGCCGGATATCCATCTGGCACGCGCAGAGGTGTGCGCGGGTGCGCGTAGGTGTGCGGGGCTGTGCGGGGGCGCGCACGCGTGCGTTTTTGTGTTTACGTGCAACGGCCGCGACGGCGGCGACAGCAACGGATTGTCCGCCCTGCGCCCGGCTAATCCGCTAATCCTCGTGCCCCCGGCAAGGATACCCGGCCGTCTCGCGTGGCAAGTCAGCGCCATTGATTATTCGAGCGCCGCTGCCAAGGTGCTTTTAGAACCGCAGCCAGAGTTCACACCCTTCGCGTGTTCCTGTTCTGCTTTTGTTTTTTTCGTGCGTTATCTCCGCGTCCTTGTAGCACCTCTCAGAACGTTCTGTTTGCTCGAACGTGCGCCAGGGGTTAAAGTGTTGTGTGCGCGGGTTGTTTTTACCTGTGTGTGTGTGTGTGGTTATGTGTGTGCGTGCGTTTATGCATAATGTTGCCCGAACAGTCTGTAAGGTTACATCGGAGATATTTGTTTATGCAGAGGTCATCATCATTACTGGGGAAAGCCAGAGTAGTGGTGCAATTGTGGTCATGCAACCCAAACTATGGACCAGAGAGTAAGCCCACTGCAGTCTGCGCTACTTCAACGGAGGAGGAACAGCAAAATTACGAGAACTCTCTCTGCTGAAGCCCTCTCGTCATAGCAGTAGCAGCAGCAGCAGCAGGACCTCCACATTGGCATCGAGCTCCTGAACCATATTCCTGCTGCTGCTGCATATCATGCGCACGAACAGAATCATCACTGTCATCATCGTCGTCATCGTGATATCAGTCTTCATCACCGTCATCATCGTCGCCATTACTTCTGCGTAGGTTTTTGTGCCGCGAGTTGTTCGGCAGGTTCCCAATAGGCTCCCAGCGCATGGGACGAAACGTCGGACATCGTGCCGAATAACGTGCAGTCCGATCCGAACACACAATGGAGAGTTTTTGACATCACTATTGTCTACATAATCGTTTTCGTCATCATATCCATCATCATATTCATCATCATCATCGTCACCATTGTCTACATTATTATTACTACTATTGTCACCAACATCATCATTATATGCATGCCAAGTATTTTCTATGTATAATGATACCCTCTGAGACGAGGATATCGCATTGGGGGTTACTTATTTTTACATTGTATATGGCATGGGCTGGCGACATCGGTGGAGTTTGACGTCTATATTTGGGGGGGGGGGGGGGAGGGGTTCCCTTTGTCCCTCACATTAGGAATCGCCGGTGCATATAATTAATAAATTATTATTATTTTATCACTGGTGCTTATAATTCCTACATTTTTAATCATTCTTGTAAACTACTGAAAATAAATTATTGAAGGTGTCCAGTTTGGGGTGGGGTGTTGCCCCCCCCCCCCGCAAGCTCACTGCTGGAGCCACAGTTTGCACAGCTACAGTCAATCAATGACCATCGTCTCATTAAGGGCAAGGTGAGAGAGGGCCCTTCGAAACGAAAGCCCCCCCCCCCCCCTAACGCCAGCGAGACCTGCAAATTTAGGGGCGCAGAATGTAACGTCGCCGGTGCCGGAGCCTCGCGGTGATCCCTGTGACTACCCCGCGCAGGGGGCTGGATGTTGCCATTTGCCGTCGGCCGAGTCACCGGCCTGCCCCGTTCGGTGGCAGCGGGAGAGGCACGTTGGGCCCAGCGTCGTTTGCGATTCTTTAATGACGCGGTGATTACACGATGCACACACACACACATGCCCGTGCTCCATTAGTGCGCGTCCACCGCTTTGTGTAGCGTTTAGAGGGACCCCCGTCTGAATTGCAGAGCATTGTTGCATAAAAACGATTTTTTTTTTACCATTCTGCTAAAAATCTATTAATTGGCGGCCGTTTATGGAGCAATGCCACTTGTATTAGCGGGCTGATTGCCCTTCTGTTTTCTATTGAATTGCATGAAAAAATTGTTGAAAGACAAGCCAGACGTGTAAAAACGTTGCGACAATTAGCGGAGTGCGCAATTGTGTAGGCGGAGCACACGAGCGCAGCCCTCTCCGTGGTTCGTTTGCACGTGTGTGCGTGTACACGTGCCCACGTGTATGTGTGTGCGTGTACACGTGCCCACGTGTATGTGTGTGTGCGTGTACACGTGCGTGCGTGTACACGTGCGCACGTGCGTGCGTGTACACGTGCGCGCGTGTATGTGTGTGTGCATGTACACGTGCGCGCGTGCGTGCGCATGTACACGTGCGCACGTGTGTGTGTGCACGCGTGCGCACGTGTGTGTGTGTGTGCACGCGTGCGAGTGTTTTCCCGTGCGAGCGATCGTCTTCACGTCGGCTCGCACCGGAGGGATTATAGCGCTGTCACTTACAGCTGTCACCTGACTCCGCTCCCTGCCCCGTTCCCGCGGCGACAGTCAACCTCCGACCCCTGGCACCTGCCCACTGCCCGTCACCGCGGGGCCAGCAGATGGAGGCGACACGCGAGCGGCGCTCGTTACCGCTAAAACTTGGCCGCGACTCGTCACCGAGTTCGCTAAAAATAACCGTGCTCTCGCTAAAAGTCACCAAACGCAAAGACGAGCTGTCATTGATGGAGACGGGCGTACATCTGCTGCATCTGTCATCCGTTAAACCAAAACAACAACAAACTTTTTTGCGGGAATGAAAAAAAAATTTAGGCTTTTTTTGTGCTTGTTTGTTTACTTCAGTTTTTATTTTTTCTCGAAACTTTTTGCTGGGATGAAAAAACATTCTTATGAAAGTTGACGGCCGGTGCGTTTTTTTGTTTTTTTACGGCTTGGTAGTCGGCAGGCGGGCAGTGGGAGGGGGGGGTCCGCGTGGACAGTTGCCGGGGATAAACACATTGGGCAGCTCTACGCAGCGGCCAGATGGTTGTTACCGGCTATGGCCCCCAAACCCACGTTCGGCGATTGAACGTAACTGACTGGCGGCTGCACCGAGCCGCTAACGGGGTGCGCATCAGCAGGAGAGGTGGAACACAAAAGGTGCGTCCCGAACCCTGCGAGCTGGAATGGAGCGAGCGAGCGATGGAGGGAGCAAGCGAGGAGGCAACGGTGTGCCCAGAAGTTTATCGTACAGTAACTGAGCACGGCAGGTGCGACTTTATTTTGCGGAGGCAACTGCCAGGGGGTCAGGCTGGGAAGAGGCACCACGCTCCCTCGTGCATTTTCTATCGCTCGGACCCATAAAGTGCGGAGTGCACGGGTAAGCGGGCGGACGAACGAACGTGCGGGCATGCCGTGCTCAAGCCAGACATGGTCTCTCGTGAAGAAGAGATTTTGATCTCGGTGGGCTTTTTCCTTGCTCATGGAAGGTCATCTATCTGTCTTTCCGCCTGTCTGTCTCTGCGTCTGTCTAACTTTGCCTCTGTGTGTCTCCTGGAAGAGACGCTTTTAGCTATGGTCAATTTCTGCTGGGCAGAGGGCACCCGTTCTGAAGACGGCGTTGGTCTCTCTTCAAGTTTGACCGTTCGTCGGCTTTGCTGGGGCGAGCGCTTTCGTGGGCGCCGTGTGGTGTTTCTGACTGAATGCTGCGAGTACCTTGAGTCTGGGTTCGGCGTCCAAGTTAAATGGGAATGGTTCCTGTAGATGCCACCGGAACAAACGGACTCGCTGGGAGGCAGGCAGGCACGCTGGTGGGTGGTTATACAGAGAGAAGGGCGGACAGGCAGAAACAGAGAGTCGGATAAGCAGGTAGGCAGGTGCGTAGATATACACGCACACAGCCAGATGTACAGACAGGCAGACACGCAGGTAGGCGGTTAACTTTACAGATAGATAGGCAGGCTGAAAGACATGCAGACAGGCAGATATTCAAGTAGGTAGGCAGGTAGATAGGAAAATAAAAATCAGGCTGACAGGCAGGGAGGCAGGCAGGTAAGGGGTTAACGGACAGACAGGCACACGGGCGAAGAGCCAGCCAGAGTTGAAGGTCACGTACGGGGGCATGGCGCACAGAGATGACCACGAGGGGAAGACGGCGTGAGCTTCAGCAGGAGTCCCTGGCCCGCGGGTGTCGCGCACCGCAGCTGTCGCGGCCCCTCTCCACCAGCTGACCAGGCCGGTGACACCAGAGGGGTGAGGGGACGTGGGGGTAAAAAAAACTGCAGCGATGCGCCACTTCCAGCCGCAGACGTAAAACACACGTGGGACGCACGCCCACTCGGCTCGGCCAGCTCTCCCCAGGGCTGCCATCCCTGTGGAGGGTCCCTCCAAAGGGCTCTTGGGCTTTTTTTCCATAGATATTGCTTTGGTTTCTCCCGATACGATGTTAAAGTTCACGATAAGGGGATGGACGATCTGCGATTTCCGTTTCTCTTCAGCCCTCGCAATTGGATTTTACATTTTCATCGTCTTTGCTTTATTGCTACGCTGTACCTCCGCTACGGGTGAAGTTCTCCGGCTGCAGTTTGCTCGACACGCAAGCCTGCGCCATGAATATTGCACTCATCGTGACCTCACAAGCTATGACACCCACGGCTCACGCGCCATCAGAGAATGATGGCGTCATGTAACCACCACATCCGTCAATTAATCCAGCAAACTCTGTCCCAAAGCGCTAATTTAATTACGCTTCTTAAGTTGAATTATTGTTACTTAAAAAGAAGGGGGGAAAAATCTCTAATTGTCGGTGAAATTAAGTATTTTAAAAATGTGAATGAGCGACACCGATCACGAGTTGACACGTTTGCTGTATATGCGTGTGTTGGGTGACAGCCTGGACACCCTTGCAAACATTACATCCCAACAGATTCCCCAAGTTCTCCTCTCTTCTTGTGCACGCTCGCAGCAAGCAGCACCGACGTGATTCAGGAGCTCGATGCCAATGTCGAGTGCTGCTGCTCGTCACGACGAGAGGGCTTCACCAGAGAGAGAGAGAGTTTGTGTCACTACTCCTTCTCGGTTGGAGGAACGCAGAGCACAGTGTGTTTACTGTGCTGGGTTGCATGGCCACAGTCGCACTACTAACGTATTCTTTGTGTCGTTATATATCTCTATGGGTCTCTGTGTGTCTCTGTTTGTCTCTATGGGATTACTATACAGTCCGTAGTTTTGGTTGCATGGCTACAATCGCACTCCTGCGGCTGTGTCGTTAATTTTCCATTTATGAAGGTGTATCGATCTACTGCTGGATGAAGGCCTTTCCTCTCCGCCCTCCCCAAACCGTCTCCATCTCACAACGATCCACCTTGGTCACGCGCGCGAGCTGATATGTTTTATCGTTCAGTCTACGTGATGGACGTGACCATCAAAAGGTGTTTCATTCATCGGCCGCTACTCCCTTATTGTCCTAGTTCGTCAGCCATCGTCTCTTCGTGTGACCTGCCCACTCACTTTCACAAAGGAATTGAATAGTGGCAATCACCTGCGTGCCCTCTAATCCAAGTTTTGCACAAGAATAAATGTACCGTACCGATTCTCTCCAGTCACTCGCTCGCCAGCGGTCAGGCACCTCCCTGTCATTCTTCTGCTGCTACCGTGATTACTGTTCCCATGAACTTCACTCATGAATTCCTCCACCCGTGTTGTGGACTCGGTCTACCAGACACTGTTTCGTCTCATCCATCACACACTGCAGGTCACAACAACACACCCACTCACACACCCACCCACCCACTCACCCACCTACTCACCCACTCACCCATCTATTCACCGCGGCTCCAAGGGCAAATCCCCTCCTCCCATCATCGCGCCTTTTCCCAGTGTATTCACAACTTTGCTCAATCTAAGTGATGTATTAACTCACAACCCTGACAACATCAAGAGTGCCGTTTGTTGATAGTTTCCTGGCGATTTGGGGGTTTGGGCCTGTGCTCAACAAATCGTAACAACATAATAAGTATTATTATTACCATCGTAATAATTCATCACGAGGGCACCAGGAGAAAAATGCCACGTTGTCTCCGCTGCGGATAGAGTAAAAGTGTGATTGCAATCACGCCCAGCGCCTTGGTTTTTATGCAACGATAATTAGGACGAAGATTGAAAAACGTACAACAACAACGAGGGACCATCACCCGGCGCTCATCTCTTCCCGATTCCGCAGGTCCCCGCCAGCGCGTGGGAGTTGTGGCGTGGGTCGTGTGCAGCATCTGCGTGACCCGTGACCCCTGTCCGTAGATCACTGGGCAGAGAGAGCGGGAGGGGAGGTGGTTAGGTGGGGGGTGACAGGTTTGGGGGGGAGTAGGGGGGCAGGGTTGGGGAGGGGGGGGGGCATGACATGTGCAGGTCCTTTAAACCTTTAAATTAGATTTGTCAAAAATGAAATAAAGCGGATGTTAAAATGCTGAACCACTGGCGCCATCACTACGCTGCCTGTAAGAGTTCAGTGTCAGAACCGATAAGGAGCGGCGTGCATGTGTGTGTACGCGTGTGCGAGTGTGTGTACGCGTACGCGAGTGTGTGTACGCGTACGCGAGTGTGTATACGCGTGCGTACGTATGAATGTTGAACTTCTTTGGCACCGTACGTAGCCAACCGTGCTAATCACATGTGTGGGTGTGTCTGTGTGTGGGGAGCGGTAGTGTAGCGGTTAGCGCGCTGCGCTTTAAATCCGGCAACGCCAGTGACAATTATCTGAATCGGTCCTGGACCCCTTCCCTAGGTCTACTCAGCCTCAAATGAGTATCTGGCGTGGTGTATAAACATTGCCACTGGGAGACAATGGTGGCCGGGCATGGTGCTGGTCGCCCCCACCCCCTTGCCGGCCTTCATCAGTGGTCGCTAACAGCACTTGCCTCAACAGCCTGTTAAAGGCTACATGGGTGATATTTGCCTTTGTGTGTAATCAGGCCAAAACCTTCTCGCCTACGAACATCTGCGCCGCTATCTGGGGTTTGTTTTTTTCCCTACTGTAATTTTTTTTCCAGTGTTCTATTAAATTGCTAAATGTACCCTATAATGCGTGAGCAAATTAGTTGATTAATGGTGCTGGCGCGATGATAAGTGGCGTGTGTTTCATTTCATTTTGTTTTGTTTTAAACCCGTCATTAAACAACAACAACAACAACAAAAAGCTGCCAAGCTCCGGACAGGAATTTTACATGCCAGAGTTATATTCTTTAATTTCAGTGTCCAGAGGACTGTCAGATATCAAAGCAAGCTGTTAAGAGCTGTCCCGGCTGTAGCTGGGAGGCGCAGGAGGTTCGACGATAATTGGTTCTGCTGTCTGCTTTCATTTTAAGGGCGGGGAAGCAACCCACGCGCCCTTGCTTTGCTCATTTTCCAGCAGTCTCTTCCCATTTACTTTTGTTTGCTGAGTGTCCGCTTGGAGCCGGCGAGCCCTTGGCTTATTTTGTAACCTCGCTGTCCATCTCGCGCGCCCGCTAATTGTTACACACGTGCACGTACCAAACCCAACCCCTCCGCTGTCCCCCACCCACACCCCGCCCCTCCGCTGCCCCCCGCCCTCCCCCCCCCCCAGGTACGTGATTGCGTCTCTGGACCGCTCGCACGCCGGGTTCTACCAGTGCGTCGTCCGGAACCGCGTCGGCGCCCTGCTGCAACGGAAGACGGAGATCCGCGTGGCTTGTGAGCGCCGCGCTCGGGTTGCACGCTCACGCGTGCAACGCACTCACGCTTCAAACGCTCAAACGCACGACATTAAAGACAAAGTTCCCCCGTGTAGCCTTCACCAGGCTGTTGAGGCGAGTGCGGTTTAGCGAGCACCTGTGAAGGCCAGGACGGCCCCGTGCCCCGGTCGCCTTTGTCTCCCCAGCGTTGATGATCGCTCACCGCGTAATCATCTGAGTTTTCTCGTAAGCGATCCTAGGGGAGGCCCAGGACTGGTTTAGATTTATCACTCGCCACCATTGCTTAGCTGTGGCTGGGAAAGTCAGTTTACCGGGTTCTTAGCGCAGCGTGTTAACCACTATGCCACCACTCCACGCACGTAACCTGGTCAATGACCTGGAAAAGAATTCCTGTACCCGGCACACCGCATCCAGTTATATCTCTCGCTATGGCTATAGCTACCGCTCACGTGTGCATTCTACCAGCAACGCGGAGATGTTTCGGCGAGATATGAAACCCTGGCTTAACGTTGCATCCAACCACACGCTGCCCTGCAATTAAGGCAGCGCGATTTGCACTGCGCGGGGGGCGGGAGGGGCGCTATGAATATTAAAACGATGATGACGACGGGGGGGATCGGGGGGGGTATTGAAAAATGCAAGTGTCACGCCGCACAGTTGGAAATGTCGTGTTACGCGTGGGATCCTGCGTGGGAGAGCATGAACAACAAAATGAGAATTACGATTTCTCGTAAGCGATCCCTCGGTGCGCCATGCCGCGCCCCCCCCCCCCCCCCCCCCAGCCTCTTCGGGGGAGCGCTGGCCGCAAGCAGCAAGGCCTACAAGCGGCAGCTGCCCACTCGGCATGGTTCAATTCACCAGCGTTGTGCGGTGTCCCTCTCCCGCTGCCCTCGTTCTGGCTGCCTCCTCCGACGTGCTCTCTCACCTTTTCACTCTCTCCCGCGCTCTCATCTCCCTCGCTCTCTCCCGCTGTCTCCCGTGTCCCCCCTCCCTCGTGCGTGGCAGACATGGGGAACTTTGTCGAGGGCGAGCAGAAGCTGTCGTTGCCGCAGGGGCAGGCGGCGGCGCTCGTGCCCCCGGCCATCACCGGGTACCCCTCCCCTCAGGTCACGTGGTTCAGGGAGGGACGCAAGATATCGCCCTCCTCGCGCATGTACGTACGCGCACGCACGCACGCACGCACGCCACACGCACGCACACACGTGATGTCTCCGAGCACCTATTAAGGCCGGCACGGCACAACGACACGGCGGCGTGGGCAGCGCCGTATCCGGTCCTCTTTGTCTCCCCAAGCGCCGACGTTTACGCACCGCACCGGGTGCTTATTTAAGGCCGAGGCGATCTGGGATCGACGCGTCGACGCTCCGCCTGGGGTGGGCACCGGGGCGCGCTCCCCACAGCGTGCGCGGACGAGCGACGTTTGAACGCCGCGACGGCGCGGGCAAAAGTGCCCCGCGCGCCGTATATTAAGTTGGCGGAAAATACATGCTGACTTTGTTATATTGTCACGCGGAGAGAGGGCAGCGTTTTATTTAAAGCGCTGCAGAGTTTCCTTGAACTTTCTGCTGATTGCATTTGAAAAGAGCGTATGATTTGTCATTGTCAGTGATAATGGGAAAAGCCGAAGATAAGGTAATCTCTCAGCGCAAGGGCGGTGGTTTTGTGTATCTCATCGGATGCTTTATTCCAATTTAATGCCGGCTAATCAAGCCGAAGAAAGGCGCGTGCCTGATGAACACTCTTACAATATGATTAAACCTCCATGTGCCTCGAATCAAAATCCATCTCGGGCGACGAATAAATAATTTAATAAATAAGCACCGTAAAACGAAAACACTGTCGTCTATTCATCAGGAAGGCCCAACGCTGCGCAGATTATTTTCAAGTAGGCCGCCGAAACAATTTGTGCCTCGTGGATAATAATAATAATTGCCACCAGCTCTCCACTCTCCACCAGTGTGAGGGGAGAAATGATCATCACGATCGTTCTGCACAACGGGAAAAGTTGCGGAGGTTTATCATGGCCTTGTTGTTGCTGCGGCTGTTGTTGCTCCTTTTGTCGTTGCTTAATAGCAGCAATGCGTCCCAGCGGCAGCGCAGTTGCCGCTCCTCGTAAGAAGTTTGCGGTTCGAGCCCAGCGGCCGTCCTAGTTAACGCGGCGGGCGGTGCATTAATGGTTGAATTACTACGTACCGTCTACTCCACGGTGGTCGTTTAAGATCCCGTGGTGCCGTTCGAGAAAGAGTAGGCCACGGGTGCCATTGTGACAGTCCGAATCTGATCAATTACTCCCGAATTCCTCAATTGGGAAAACCACATCGCGACATCGTCCGCTCGCGGCAGACTAATGTTCACTTGCCGACCATTGCTGCATACGCCTTGTGTCACGTGGATAGAGCTGCTGCTGGGGGTCCCCTTTGGCAAGATTGCCGCAGGGCAACTCGGGATGTACAACATGGGAGGAGCGGTATCATTATTAAGCGACGATGACGGATTCACTCTGACCACGACCCCTGAGCATCGCGTCTCTCCGGCAGTGCGGTCACGACGGAGAACTGGCTGGTGGTGCTGGCGAGTGCTTCGTCGGACGGGGGGCGCTACTTCGTGCAGGCCGTCAATGAGAAGAATGGCGAGAACAAGACCAGCGGAGCCGTCACGCTCGCCGTCGAGAGTGAGCGAACCCGTCACTCACGCCATTAACCGTGCGTTCGTTTGCGAGGGCGGTGACCGTCCGTGGGAACTCCACAGCGCGTGTTTTCGCTGCACAGCGCCTCCCGTGCATGTTCAGGCCGTGCCGCGTGTTGTTCCACGTGCCGGGAGCTTCTTCAGGAACTATTCCTGGAACTCTTCCCGGAACTGTATCTTGAACTGTATCTTGAACTGTTCCTGGAACTGTGTCTGGAACTGCTCCTGGAACCGTTTTTGGAACTGTTCCTGGAACTGTTCCTGGAACTGTTTCTGGAACTGTTCCTGGAATGGTTCCTGGAACTATGTCTGGAATGGTTCCTGGAACCGTGTCTGGAACTGTTCCTGGAACTATATCTGGAACTGCTACTGGAACTGTTCCTGGAACTGTGTCTTGAACGGTTCCTGGAACTGTTCCTGGAATGGTGTCTGGAACTGTTTCTGGAACTGCTCCTGGAACCGTGTCTCAGACTGTTTCTGGAATTGTTCTTGGACCTGTTTCTGGAACCGTGTCTGGAACTGTGCTGGAACTGCTCCTGGAACCGTGTCTGGAACTGTTCCTGGAACTGTGTCTGGAACTCTTCCTGGAACCGTGTCTGAAACTGTGTCTGCCACTGTTCCTGGAACTGCTCCTGGAACTGTGTCTAGAATTTGTTCCTGGAACTGTTCTTTGAAATGTTCCAGGAACCGTGTCTGGAACTTTTCCTGGAAGTATTACTGGAACCGTGTCTGGAAATGTGTCTGGAACTGTTCCTGGAACTGTTCCTGGAACCATGTCTGGAAATGTGTCTGGAACTGTTCCTGGAACTGTTCCTGGAACCATGTCTGGAAATGTGTCTGGAACTGTTCCTGGAACTGTTCCGAAACGTGTGCCGTTCAGCACAAAGTTTATCACCATGTTCACTGAGAGAGTTTCTTCCGGAAGAACCTCTGTCAGTCTGAAGTCACGCCGAATAACGCATGGTGCGACGCGGGAAGCCGTTGGGGTGCTGTGTGAGAAATCGTGGAAATGATCGGCCCGTTTTAAGCGATGGCAGCAAAGGCTGTTGATATTAATGGCAGAAACGTGCCAAATTTTCCAGAATATTTCCTGCCGTTTTGGCGATTTTCTACGTGTCGACAGTAGCCGCCGCCGCCTTTTCTGCCCGAGCGTGAAGTTGGCTCCCTCCTGTTGCAGCCCCGAACACCGCGCCGAGGCAAACTGCCGTGGAGTGAGCAGGAATAGATTGACAGGGTGATTCTTTTATCGATACCCCATTGATTTCTAATGACGCTGTTAACCTTCGTCGCAACGAACGGCTGATTGAATATTGTGAAAGCGATGGCTCCGTGTCTTGCACAGGAACGGAGACGGGGCAGGTGTTAACGTGTCCCGGGACAAGCGTGACAAGATGCAACAAGTGTATTGGGATTGGTGGGAGACACGTAGAGGCTTTGAATTAACGTGTAATTTTTTTGTTATATAATGTATCCCTTTTACATTAGTGGGGTGTCAATAAACAGATCACTCTGTATTATCAACGTTCACCTGGGCGCACGTACGCGCGTCGACCGGAGTTTTGCAGAGAGCTGGTGCGGTGCGTGCGCACGTTTGTGATTGAATCCGTGTCACGTGAGCGGAAATTAGAAATGCGCTGTGCATTGATTCCCGTTGAGAGCCAAGTGGTGAGTCAGTGTCTCGCTGTCGTGAGCTCTGTGCCTCCCTAGCCCAATTTAAACCCACAGCTAGAGCCATCCTGGCATCAAACACATGCCCTGAATGTGAGCCACGGGGAGCTTTAATTTGGCGAAATGTTGAACTACTTATTTACGAAAAAAAGTGCATGTAGATTACATTCGCTTTCCGACCCCCCCCCCCAACCTCTCTGTATTTGTAAAACATCCTTTACACATGCTCTCCTTGAACGCGCAGCACGAGTAGATTGGAGGATCCTTATTCCGGGCAGGTCCATTGTGCGACGCTTCTCGTTCGCGGAATCGCACGTCCGACGAAATGCAAATGCATTGTGGTTTGAGAAACGGCCAAGCGGGAGGCTGGGAGCGGAGGGCTTGGGCGGCGGGTGACGCTGCTGCTCCGACGGTGGAATTCGGGCCAGGGCCCTGGCGGGAGCGCACCTGCTCTTTGTGAAAGGGCACCGTGGGCGGCCGCGGACTCACCGGAGTGGACGCGGCTTAGGCTGAACGGCCCGCGTAAAGGGCAGGCCCTCCCGCGGCATGGCGGCCCCCGGGCGCCGCTTAGCTCCATTGCCCGGGATCCAGTGGGCGGGCAGCGCCGCCGGTAACGCACCACGGTGGCTAAGAGATGTTAACTACCTCGCCTGGTATGCAGGAGGTCGCGGGTTCGATCCCGACCCTGACGCCTGCTGCTGTATATTTGGAGTTTGCGTGTCTCTCCCCGTGGTCGCGTGGATTTTTCCCCAAGTCCTCCGGTTTTTCCCTCCACGTTTAGAATCAACATCACCACGCGTTGAGACTATTTGGCTGCTGCTATATATTTCCACTCGTTTATAAGCCACTTTCGTTGAGTTATCATTCGTGGCTAGGTCGCTTCTGAAAAATAGCTGTACGTTGCTCAGTGGGCCTTGCCTGGTCAAATAAAAAATTGTTGTTAGTTAAGTGCTAAGCGGGTCACGACCCGGCCAGGTGAACGTTGGAGGGCTGCGTGAACCTCGGGCTTTGATTGAGCGCCCCTCAGTAACGGGGTCACCGTGGTTTGTGATATCGGTGCTTTTGACTTTCAAATGGCAGGTGTGAATTTTTGTTTAGTTTCTGGTTTACAGCGGATTCTTGTGCGTGCTTTCATTATCTGTCTCGTTCAAAGTCAGGGCTCTGAACTTGCAATTTACGAGTTTGCTGAAGAGTGAAATGAAATGAAAAGAGCTGCAATTTTTTCACGGCGCGCATCTAAACTTTTAATCGAACCTTCACTTTCAGGCACAAATCTTGTTTGGCGTTAATTTAAGTTCGTACGCATCAGCATTTTTTTATCAGTTTAAATGGATTAAAACACACGGCGGCAATTCATTTATTATTAACGTGAGACACTTGCCTCTTTTGACACCGACACTGCTAAGTGTCTCGTTCCGCGTGTCTTCCGTGCACCCCCCCCCCCCCCCCACAACCGGCACGATCGCGTTGGCCGGCTCCCCCACTTGTTGTTGGGTTGTACCGCGTGTTGTTCGCCACAATGTCCGACGTTTCGAGCCTCGTGCTGGGGATCTTCATCAGTGCGGGTACTGAAGACTCGGCTCTCAGTGCGAGTACATGCATGCAATGACGAGCAGGTATTCACCATCTCCACTGGCACCGCGGATTAATCAACCGGTCAAAGCTGACACGAGTTCTCGGACATTTCCGGTGTTTCACGCCCCACGTGCCCGGGAGCATCTTCAGTTCACTTCCTGAAGCAGCTCCCCAGCACGTGAAGTGAAGCGTCGGACATCGTGCGACAAACACGCGGCATGACCCGAACAACACGTCGGCGGCGTGGAGTGGGGGTGGGGAGCTCTGCCCCCCCCCCCCCCCCCGATGCGAGTTGGGGCGTGCCTCCTGGTCGAACGCCCTTCCTTGGGCACCACCATAAATCACCACCGTGGCAGGAGCATGCGATGCACCCACGAGCGAGGGGCGCGCAGGGCCTGCGTGGTAATGGGAGGGGAATTCGCGTTTGTGGGCGCGCGGCTGTCGCGCCGCTCGACGCGCGGGCGAGCGGGCGGCACCGTGTCCCACCAAAGCGATTGCTCCGTGCCGGTTTTATTGAGCCAGGCTCAGAGAGAGAAAGAGAGAGCGTGACCTCCGCCCCTTCCCCCCCCCCCCCCCCAACTCGTGTGGCCTCCTGGGAGTCTGGACGCGGCGGTGGCGGCAGACGAGCGAGTGGCTCGGCTATGTTGCCATTTCTGCTCGAAGCTCAAGGCCGTTCGGCTGTGAGCAATGCCAGGTGGTACCATTCAAAAGGTGAACCTCTCCACAAAATATCATCACGATTTACAGCTCTTTGTCAACCCCACAACTGGATGAAGGTGTCGTGGTGGGAGCTCACAACCGGTCCAGATGTGGACCACCACTGGACAACAATAATAATAGCCGGCACCAACAATCGCCCAAGCTCTGTGGTCCTCTATATATTACATGTGGGAGGAAACTGGAGCACCCAGAGATAAAGCACGCATGTGAGGGGGAAACCCTCTATCCCATACAAACGAAATAGGTCACCATTTTGACTATAACCAATGCATTTCCCGGGAATCAAACTCGAGTCTCCCATTTAATGGCACAATGTGTGAAATACACATCGGTCCACCGCCCTGTATAGCGTTCTTGAAATTAACAACTTTTGTTCGATGTTTTACCCTCAGTAACGGTCAGATTGTAGCGCAGAATAGCCGAGCGCCGGCACCCGAACGCATCGCCGTGCGGTGCATTAATGGAGCAGTCTGATTGGCCCATTGGCTTGGCGAGGCTGACAAGAGACAACCACATCAGGACCACCGCGGCGTCGGTGAGAGCTTAAATCTCAGCAAATAAATTGGAGCCCCAGAACAAAATGGGGGCGACGACTGGAGACGCTAACGTGCGGCGACATCGCCTGACAGGGCCTTAGTACCAGCGCCCCCGCTCCCCCGGACGCGTAAATTCGGATGCCGATCGGCAGGTGGATGGGAGGCAGCCGCAGGTAAAGGGACGAAAAACAAAAAAGCTGGACGAGAACGCTGCCTTCGCGTCGGCTGCTCTCGGTGAGAGTTTTAAGACGTGTCTTCGTCCGGGCCTTGAACGTTGTTGTCGGTCGAGACGTTTCGTGAGAGAGATTCGGACGCGTCGGTGTTTAAACGCGGCACGCCGCCCCCCCCCCCCCGCCGCCGCCGCCAATGTGATGAGCAGATGAGTTTATAAGGAGTAGATGAGTGGATGCCACGGGCCGCGTTAAACTCTGCAATATTTTCACGGGCGTTGCTTCTAACGGCCCCTTCTCCCCCACCTCCCGCCCGCCTCTCCCTCTCCCCCCCCCCCTTCCCCGTCGTCCCTTTGTTGCCGCACCACCGCGTTTCATTTTGTCTATTCTTCGTTCTCTCTCTTTTTCTGTTTTTCATGCCACCATCGCCTGCCGGCAGAGCGCTCGCACAGCGGTAAGGCCCGGCGACCCCCCCCCCAGCCCCCCCCCCCACCCCCACCCGCCGCTTGCACCGCTCGCTTCCCGTGTCCCCCTCTTGAGTTTCTTGATGGATTTCGGCTGCCACCCTCTCTCTGGCAACCGTAGTCGTGCATGGATGATGTGTCGCTTCCCAACGTACGCCGGTCCTCGGAACTACGTTGACGGGTAGCAGCTGTCAGGCCAAAACCGAGTTTGCACATCGACAAATATTCCTTTCAGCGCTGGTTTGCGGCTCAGAGTTTGTTTTTTCGCATTGACCCTTTGATTTGGTCCGGTTCCTCTAGAGTTAGTCCCGAATAGGAACACAACTATATTGGAAAATGTCGTTCCTATCGGACCGTATTCGTCAGAGATATCGCGACCCAACACGACAGCGGCATAGGGAGACGGGCGGACAGGGATTTGTTGGAAAACGTTAAAACATTGCTCGTCTTACAGTTCCAGTGCGGTAGTTAAGATGTTTGCAATTGCCAGTGCTTTCAAAACTGCAGGAAGCAGTGTATATATTTCGCAAAAAAGGTCTATTTACGACCCACGCGCTGCCACGATGATTCTTTGCCCATTTGGCTCAATGTTTTCAATTTACCAAAATATACCGTAGAGGCTCGTTGTCATTTTAGACACGGACAAAGATCCCACGTATAGCTACCCACAAACCATTGGGGCAATTGCTGTTAGCGAGCACCTAGTCGGACCAGGACGGTGCGCTTGTCGGTGGTGTGGCCAGCACCACAATGGTTGTTTATACACCGCACCAGGTACTCGCTTAAGGCTGAGTGGACTTAGGGGAAGCCCTGAACCGATTCAGATATTCACCACTGACGTGAGCCAAAGCCAGAGACATAGCTCTCCCGTAGAGCCTTAACAGACTTTTCGGGCAAATGCTGTTAGCGAGCACCCATGAAGGCCAGAACGGCACACGAGGGGGTGGGTGGCCAGCACCACGCCTTTGCCTCCCTAATGGCGATATTTATACACCGCACCGGGACTCATTTGAGGCTGAGTTGCCCGTGAGTGGGAATCGATGTGAGCCATACACACACACGCACGTGCACATTGCCACGTTGCTCCGTCATCATGAAGCGTACACCGCCGGTGGAAATTCCGGTGCTTCATTTCAGCCGCCTCTGTCCGCACCCGGCACACCACATCTAGTACACCTCGAGCTATGGCCGTGGCATATGCCACCGACTCCCAGGTCTGCCAGCGACCCCACTGGAAGAAAAAAATTATATCATCCGTGAAGGCCCGGGGGGCGTCGTGATTACCACGCCAAGTTCACTGCTCGCCCAAAGCACAGCCACCGATGGCGAGGGGACCTCACACGGCACCGCCGCCGCTTGTAAATAGCCTTCCCGTGCGTCCGTGCAGAAATAATGTCGCGCGTGCGAGCGCGTGACCTTTCCCTAACTACAAGTCTCGCCGGGCGCGCAGCACACGGCGCCCGGCGGCGGTCGCGGGAGGGGTGCCCCCCCCCCCCGTCAAAAACCACGCCGTGTGTCGCACGCCACTCGACGTTTTCCCAACCGTCAGCCAGCGCCGGTTCAGGTCCGGTCGGCGCACATTTGAGTTGAGCTCTCCCCTCCATCGTCGTTGCCGTCTGTCCGCTGTCTGTCTGCATCCCGCGATGCTTGGGGTCTCTCGGGGAGGGTCCCGCGGCTTCTCGCCGGGGGGAACAGATAGCGTGGGGCGGGGGGGGTCTTTGAGGGGCACCGCTGGCTTTTACGCAGCCTCTTCCCCCCCCCCCACACCCCCCCCCCCCCCCCATAATACCCTTGCTTCTGGCCCAGCGCGCTCCGCCGCCAGTGCGAGGTGTTGGTGCGGGTCTCCGCGTGCGCCCACTTTGGAGCTCGCGTCAAGGATGACTGAGAACAAGTATACCCCCCGTCTAGCCGGCAACGGACTGTTGTGGCGAGTGCTGTTAGCGAGCGCGCGAGGGGCGGGTGTGGGTGGCCGGCACCACGCCCGGCAGCGTTTTTTGTCTCCCGAGTGGCGATGTTTACACGTCGCAGCAGGTGTATTATTTTGAGGCTCAGTCGATCTCGGGGAGGCTCAGGGACCGATTCAGATAGCCTCCACCAGTGTTGGTGGCCATGAGCGAGAATCGAACTCGGGTCACCGGGTTCATTGCGCGGCGTGCGCTCACCGCTACATGACCGCTCCCCGCACGCCCGCGTACACAGCAAATATACACACGCATGAACGTGCGCTCATGCCCACGGTAACCGGCACGCGGCACGCATGTACACACGCACGTACCCACGCGCACATGCATGCACATACACACGCGTGCGTGCAAAATTAAGACGAAGTGCGTTCCCTCGTGGTGAGGAATGGCGCATTTTCCTTTTTCTATCGCGGCTGAAATGTATGTTTTTTTTCCGCCCGGCTACACCCTCTCCTGCACTGTGGTTACAATTTCTCCACTTTGGCATCTCGGGGCAAATTGCTTGTCTTGCGGCGTGAAATGTGGGCCTGTGTTTAAGGTGTTGAGGACTTAATGGCACGGGTTTAAAGGGAGATGGAGAGCGCTTGGTGAGAAGCACAGCGATAAGCAAGCCCCCCCGAGCTCCGATCCCGCCAGAGCTGCTCCTGATCGCGCCAAAACGTTTATTCATCGGCGCGAGGCTGCAGATAGGTTTTTTTTTTTTGTTTACGGTTTATTAATAAGGCACCTTGCCAATTCTTCACACTGTGTCCATACGGAGCCGATTCGCCAAGCATTTCGTTCGTTTGTTTTTATTTACATTTACTCCGATTGGATCAGAAAAAGGGGAGTGGAGCGCACGCGGGATGAGCGGTGTTTGTCTGGCGGAGCCGTCGGACCACGGTGCCGGACACAGCCCTAGACGACAACGGGCCTCGTCACGAAGGCAGTCGGGAGATTTGGTCCACTCCCTGTCGAGCCTCGGATTGTCGCTCGTTGCCGTGCTCAGCGGTGGACACCTGTAAATAAAAGAGCTTTTCAGCTCATCGGATTTCTAAGGGATAAATTAACGAAAAATTCTGAGATTCTAAAGATTCGGGCTCCGAGCAGAGCGGAGGAAGTGAAGCCTGCGCGTCGTGTGGAGTTTGCGCGCCATGTGGCGTGTGAGTGCCGTGTGGAGTTTGTACGTCGTGTGGAGTTTGTGTGTCGTGTGGAGTTTGTGTGTCGTGTGGAGTTTGTGTGTCGTGTGGAGTTTGTGCGCCGTGTGGAGTTTGTACGTCGTGTGGAGTTTGTGTGTCGTGTGGAGTTTGTGTGTCGTGTGGAGTTTGTGTGTCGTGTGGAGTTTGTGCGTCGTGTGGAGTTTGTGTGTCGTGTGGAGTTTGTGCGTCGTGTGGAGTTTGTGCGTCGTGTGGAGTTTGTGTGTCGTGTGGAGTTTGTGCGTCGTGTGGAGTTTGTGTGTCGTGTGGAGTTTGTGCGTCGTGTGGAGTTTGTGCGTCGTGTGGAGTTTGTGTGTCATGTGGAGTTTGCGCGTCGTGTGGAGTTTGTACGTCGTGTGGAGTTTGTGTGTCGTGTGGAGTTTGTGTGTCGTGTGGAGTTTGCGTGTCGTGTGGAGTTTGTGCGTCGTGTGGAGTTTGTGCGTCGTGTGGAGTGTGTGTCGTGTGGAGTTTGTGTGTCGTGTGGAGTTTGTGTGTCGTGTGGAGTTTGTGTGTCGTGTGGAGTTTGTGTGTCGTGTGGAGTTTGTGTGTCGTGTGGAGTTTGTACGTCGTGTGGAGTTTGTGTGTCGTGTGGAGTTTGTGTGTCGTGTGGAGTTTGTGTGTCGTGTGGAGTTTGCGCGCCGTGTGGAGTGTGTGCGTCGTGTGGAGTTTGCGCGCCATGTGGAGTTTGTGTGTCGTGTGGAGTTTGTGTGTCGTGTGGAGTTTGCGTGTCGTGTGGAGTTTGTGTGTCGTGTGGAGTTTGTGCGTCGTGTGGAGTGTGTGTCGTGTTGAGTTTGTGTGTCGTGTGGAGTTTGTGTGTCGTGTGGAGTTTGTGTGTCGTGTGGAGTTTGTGTGTCGTGTGGAGTTTGTGTGTCGTGTGGAGTTTGTGTGTCGTGTGGAGTTTGTGTGTCGTGTGGAGTTTGTGTGTCGTGTGGAGTTTGTGTGTCGTGTGGAGTTTGTGCGTCGCGTGGAGTTTGTGCGTCGTGTGGAGTTTGCGCGTCGTGTGGAGTTTGTGCGTCGTGTGGAGTTTGTGCGTCGTGTGGAGTTTGTGCGTCGTGTGGAGTTTGTGCGTCGTGTGGAGTTTGTGCGTCGTGTGGAGTTTGTGCGTCGTGTGGAGTTTGTGTGTCGTGTGGAGTTTGCGCGTCGTGTGGAGTTTGTGCGTCGTGTGGAGTTTGTGCGTCGTGTGGAGTTTGCGCGTCGTGTGGAGTTTGTGCGTCGTGTGGAGTTTGTGCGTCGTGTGGAGTTTGTGTGTCGTGTGGAGTTTGTGCGTCGCGTGGAGTTTGTACGTCGTGTGGAGTTTGTGCGTCGCGTGGAGTTTGTGCGTCGTGTGGAGTTTGTGCGTCGTGTGGAGTTTGTGTGTCGTGTGGAGTTTGTGCGTCGTGTGGAGTTTGCGTGTCGTGTGGAGTTTGTGTGTCGTGTGGAGTTTGCGCGCCGTGTGGAGTTTGCGTGTCGTGTGGAGTTTGTGCGTCGCGTGGAGCGGTTGTGCTGTTGTTAGAGCCCTGCGCCATGAGCCAGTGCACCCGAGTTCGATTCTCGCTCATGGCCAACACCAGTGACAAATATCTGTACCAGTCTTTAAACGGTCCTGGGGCTCCCCTAGGTCGACTCAGCCTTTAAAACGAGTACCTGGTGCCATGTGGACAAAGGCGGCCGGGCTTGGTGTTGGCCACCCACTCCCTCATGCGCGTCGCCGGCCTTCATAGCTGGCACTCGCTAACTGCCCTTTTCTCAAGAGTGTTAAAGGCTATACGGGGGAGCTTTGTTATTGTGTGGTGTACGCGTGTCAGTGCTCTGTGTGTGAATGATGCGTGCCGTTCCTTCCCTACGCTCGTCCCAAACCTCTCCTCTGTCAGAAAGAGTAAGGAGCCGGAGTGAGACTTCCCCATGGGGAGAGAGCGAGAGAGAGAGAATTTCGCAGTCACTTCCCCCGATAAGCGGCACCAGCGCGTCAATTTGTTCAACGCTGAGCGTAAAATTCCACACTCGGCAACGAATTAATTGGAGCAACTTAGGCGTCTTTCAAAAATATATCTAAAGATATATATTCGGAACGTTTAGTGCGCAGAAAAATGAAGATGCCGTCGCACGGCGCCCGCTTCACGGCGTCCGACGTTCGCTGTTCCCGCGGTGACACAGGGAATAACTCCGCGTGGCGTTAGCCCCGGAGCCGTCGGCGCTCCACTCCTCTTTATTCTCATCCGACGCTGTTTGTCACCGGCCCTGCTGACAAATAATAAAGCTACAAGCGCCCCATTTGGGCCTAGAGGGATTAATTAAACTCTACCTTTATAAGCCCGTTCCCGATTTCCTGTCCCACCGATGTCACGTGGGAGTTGTGCAGAAACCATCTCAATCAATCATCGCACCATTCCCCCTGCCTCCCACGCTGCCCCCCCCCCTCCCACTACCCACTCCCCGCCCCCCACTGGATTTGGAAGTCCACAAAAAAAGAAAATACACGATGGATTTATCTGTCAGCCGGCGTGGAGTTTCGCTTGACGGGCAATTTCTTCAATGGGAAATCGCAACCCCCCAAAAATACGATGAGCTCTTATCCTGCAGCTCCAAACGCATTCTGCGCCATCGTGGACAATTGTGGTGAACAAGTAAATGTTTTTGTCATAGACTCGCACAGAGACCCATAGACACAGACACAGAGACGCATAGACTTGCATAGAAACCCACAAACTCGCACAGAGACTCATAGACACAGAGACACATAGACTCACAGAGAGACCTACAGACTCGCACAGAAACCCAAAGACACAGAGATTCATAGACTCACAGTGAGACCCACAGACTTGCACAGAGACCCATAGACACACACACAGAGAGACGCGTAGACTTGCATAAAAACACGGTTAAATCACTTGAGCGCACATCACCGAAATTGTAAATTATATTTTTTCGTTATGAATCTTTAAACTCGTCAAACAGCGCAGGACAGGGTGCCTACGCAACGTGTCTTAAATATCTGTTTGAGATCTCGGCTGTTTTTTTTCCTTTAATGTAAGCAGGGTTTCATGTTCTATGCAGTGTTCAGAACCGTTTCAATTTCTTAATTTTTATTACGTTCGTGTATTTTTCTTGCCCCCCCCCCCCCCGCGATATTTAAAACATCGTATTCATCTCCTGGGATTTGGTGTTTCAATTACAGTGCCACCGCTGGTATCCCCGCTCTGAGCGGAGAGCGATCGGATAAAATCACCGCACCCCCGGAGATGCTGGGTTCGATTCCAGGTCTTGGGCGCCTGCAATGAAAAGTATTGAGAGGCGATGACCTCACACCATTGACTGTACAACAACAATAACAAAAACCATTGGCAGTTACCAGGGTACCCCGAGAGAACTCCTGCGTACAAGTGGATAAGGCTCTACACACTTACACAACTAAACATTTTTTTATTTTACCAGGTCAGGCCCCACTTTGAGACGTAGGCTTTCGCGACCAATATTCATAATAGAGATTTGTTTTTTTTGGGTTAGATCGCTTAAGTATAAATGTGTCGTTAACCCGACACCACGCGGCACGGCCAATTAGTAAGGTTTGTCACGTAAGCAAAACGTGCCAATTGGGTACTGCTTCAGCCCACCGGTGTGTTGGAGAGTAAGTCCACAACATGTACAATTTGAGTAGTACCGTGATGTTTCCGCGTCACGGTAATTATGCCCAGCATCATCGAGCGATTTTGCTAGAATTGTGAAGTGATCTACCCGCTGCTGGTCTTAAACAGCAAGATGACGTCCTCACTGTGAGCCAATCAGGTGCAGAAAGCAGAGAGGGGGTTTATTGTAATTATATAACAGTGGATTATGTTCTTCTGGAACAGATGGCTTAATCACATTTCATCAGTATGCGATGCCTTTACATTACTTAAGAATGTATAGCTCTTTTTCAAAAGAGACATTGGCTATCACAAATGATAGCTCAACGAAGTGGCTTATTAATCGTGTGTAAATTTACAATGGCAGCCAAATGCTCTAGACCGGAGGACCCGGAGAAAAATCCACGCGACCACGGGAATAACATGCAAACTCCAATATATACAGGCGTCAGACTTGGGGTTGAACCCACAACCGCCTGTATACAAGGCGAGGGCGTTACCATCTCGCCACTCTAAGGTCCATACGGATAGATTCCAGAATCCACTGCTGTGCATTAATTTTGGTTGTGCATTTATTTTCGCTAAATTCCAGCTCTGAGAATTAAATCATCAGTTTCACTATAGTGTGACAAACGTTACTCTCATATGTAAGTATAAATGTGTCGTTAACCCGACACCACTCGGCACGGCCAATTAGTAAGGTTTGTCACGTAAGCAAAACGTGCCAATTGGGTACTGCTTCAGCCCACCGGTGTGTTGGAGAGTAAGTCCACAACATGTACAATTTGAGTAGTACCGTGATGTTTCTGCGTCACGGTAATTATGCCCAGCATCATCGAGTGATTTTGCTAGAATTGTGAAGTGATCTACCTGCTGCTGGTCTTAAACAGCAAGATGACGTCCTCACTGTGAGCCAATCAGGTGCAGAAAGCAGAGAGGGGGTTTATTGTAATTATATAACAGTGGATTATGTTCTTCTGGAACAGATGGCTTAATCACATTTCATTAGTATGCGATGCCTTTACATTACTTAAGAATGTATAGCTCTTTTTCAAAAGAGACATTGGCTATCACAAATGATAGCTCAACGAAGTGGCTTATTAATCGTGTGTAAATTTACAATGGCAGCCAAATGCTCTAGACCGGAGGACCCGGAGAAAAATCCACGCGACCACGGGAATAACATGCAAACTCCAATATATACAGGCGTCAGACTTGGGGTTGAACCCACAACCGCCTGTATACAAGGCGAGGGCGTTACCATCTCGCCACTCTAAGGTCCATACGGATAGATTCCAGTATCCACTGCTGTGCATTCATTTTGGTTGTGCATTTTCGCTAAATTCCAGCTCTGAGAATTAAATCATCAGTTTCACTATAGTGTGACAAACGTTACTCTCATATGCAGAGCAGGTGGGTAGATGCTGCCCCTCTACTGTGTGGACGAGAGGTCACTTCAAAGGGTTTTTAGAGCTAGCTCTGTGATATCCACTTCCAAGGGTCATCCTCGAAGGGTCACAGCTGTGCGCGATTTCCAAGCGAATTATTCGTCTCGCGACAACGAAACGTGGATTGCACAGTCGGCCATGACTTGAGATGGTGGTCTGGACAAGGCTGAGATCTTGGCACATGCAATGCGGTGGTCACATGATATGCATGCAAGGCATGATGGGAGTCGTGCCTTCCTGCTCTGCGTGAGAGCACACGTTTTTTGCACGTTTTTTTTTCCGGTGCGGTTGGGATATATATAACAAAAAACATATTTAAATTCTGCTGTTTGAATTGTGTCGTCCGTGTCGCTGATCCCGCGCAGATGGGGAGGGTCCGGCCGACCCCATCGCCCCGGAGATTGTCGTGGCGCCGCGGAACACGAGCGTCACCGTGGGCACGCCCGAGGTCACCCTGCAGTGCGTCGCCAACGCCAGGTGAGGGCTCACCGCGCGACATGGGGTCACAAATAATAATCATAATAATTGTTGTCGTTGCATTCGTACGGTGTTGCTTAAAAGCCTCGGCAACTCAAAGTGCCCTTCCATAGCATCTCATCTCAAACTTTTGAAGGGCACCTTCGGTGGCAGCTGTCCCTGTGCGGCAGGCACGTGGTGACTCACTGCTGGCTTGCAAGTGTCCACCGCTGGCCGATGCCACCACTGGGATTCTTGACCCTGACCCCAAGGCTCGCTGCGATTTTATCATTCATGATGCGATATATTAATTGTCACAATATCGTGATTATCGCGATGTCGGTTTGCCAAAAGTTGTAATTGTGTGTCGTGTTGTAATGTTTTTGTGCTTTGCTGTACTTCGGTGTGAATAAGAAAATGTAAACATTCTCCCACCGCAGTTAACTCCTCAACATAAGCCAGCCACGGGTCTTTTAACGGCCACAAAGCCACGACCCACGCGCTGCCAGCTACGCACACGCAACCAATTAATGATATTCACTGTAAACATGATGATGTTCACAGTGAGCTGTCTTTGAGCGTTGCACTGGTGCAGAGTAGAACCCCGCGACTCTGAGCGCGCTCACTGTGTGCCTTGCCTCTGGCACAGAGGACAAAGCGGAGCGCCGACCGTCGCCCGTAACCACCGAGCGGGCGTTTGTCTCTATAGCGGCTTCGCTCACTCTCTCATCTCCTCGCGGGAGAAGCAGGGCTAGCGGTCCCAGCACGTGGACGTTTTTAAAGTCGCCCCTTCAGTGAAAAGGGGAGCGGCAGTGAGCGGCCGGGGGGGGTGGGGAGGGCCGGCGGGGGGTGGCATTGGGCGGTGGCGAGGGGGCCGGAGGGGTGGTGGCGGGTCGACTCCAAATCGCGCTCTTAAGTGCGATTGATTTACAAATAAATAAACAATCGCTCCCAAATTAGTGCGAGGTGATGCAGATTAATGAACCGGCGTTGTTGCCAGCAACGCAGCTTTGTGAGATCTCGCGGTTGTGGGACCCCCGTGCCCTCCCTCCCTCCCATCGTCGCGCCGCCACCACCCGCCCGTCCACGTGACTGATTCTCTTGACTCCTCCGTGCACTTCAGGCCGGTCTCCGTAATGAGTTTAATAATTTATCGCGCTCCGCGCCGCAGACTCACCGGGCCGGGCCGGCTGCGGTGGAGAGGAGGCCCTAGTGGGAGGGCGCGCGCGCCGGCGCAGACGGGGGTTACTTCACGGTGACAAGAAAAAAAAACTAATCTAAATTAAATAAGAAAAATCCCGCGGCTGTGATGTGCGTTAATTAGCCGGAGCACTCCAGTCACATTACGCCGGCGCCTGTGGAGGCGGCGTTCGGGACGTGCTGTGCTGCGAAAGCGCCCCGCGCAAAACGGGGGCGGCCGCCGATCGCCACCTTTTTGTTCACGACCGTCGACTCGTGATGAATGCCCGACAACGCCGGAATAGCCCTGTGGAGAGCCTGGCCCCGCCACGCCGGATTGATGCACCGGAAAGGCGACTTATGTTCGACGTGCGAATTTGTCACGCGGGGTTAGCCTGCCGATTGTGTGCGTGCGTGCGTGCGTGCGAAAAGCAAAACAAAAAAGACAGAAATAACAAAAGTTGGATTCATAGGCAACTAGCGTGGAGAGGCTGTGATGCATCGTGGGTGAAGCCATCGGAGCACCGGGCGTGTGTCCCGTTGTGGCTGGCGCGGTGCGGTCACCTCCTGGCCGGTGCGGTGTCCTCCCTGGACCACGTGGGATGGTGTCACCGCCGGTTGCTCCTGGCCTCCGTTGTTTACACAAAGCAGTGCTTATAAATTCCATATACATCATAATAGCGGAAGAGGGAGAGAACTGCCTCGGGCCGAAAGCTTCCTCATTCCACCATCCACAGGCCCATTGTGGGGCCCTCATTGGTGTGACACCTGGGGCAAATTGACCCTCTTACAAATGGCCCCTTCCCAGCTTTCCCAGGAAAAGAGAGGATGACCCTGGGAAAACCAGGACAGGTGGCAACCCTATTTCCACCTCCCCACCAAGATGCCGTCCCCCGTGCCTCCCGTGCCACGGTGAATGGACTTGGCTGTGGTTTTGTCTCCTCTGCCACCAGGTCTCGGCTCCCTCCGTTTCGGCCCTTCCCTGCACCGGCCCTTGCCGTTGATGTGTGAGCACGAGTCTGGAAATTTTGCACAGTTTCGTGGGATTGATGCTCGCCGTGCTAACTGCCATGCTGCGGTTGCTTGCCGCTACAAACTGAGAATTCTCGCAGTGACACGCTAAATAGATTCCATAGTGTGCCTGTGCACACCTGTGTGTACATGAGTGCACGCGTGTGGTTAGCGGAAGCGTTGTGGTTAGTGGACTGCCCTACGAACCCCGCGGCCCGGGTTCTATTTCCGCTCAGGCCAACATCATTGGCAAATATCTGAACCGATTCTGAACCTTCCCGAAGTCGACTTGGCCGTACCCATTTGTGGTGTGCAAAGATCGGCACTGGACACAAATTTGGCTGGGCGTGGTGCTGGCCAAACCACCCGCTCGTGCGCTGTACCGGCCTTGATAGGTGCTCGACTAACAGCTCTTGCCCCATCAGCCCGTATGGCTATATCGGGAATCTTTTGTTTTTGTGTGATTCTGCTGACAAGGTTACCACGAGCAATTAATGATGTAATTGCCACGTGTTTAAAATTAGTGTGTGAACCCATCTATTATTCAGCATTTGCGGCTGTAATTGGTAAATTGCTAATGTGCGTTCGGTACAAATGCGTGTGTTTTCAAGTGATTATTAATATTTGAAAAATCAATTTCTAGTTGGCATTGTATACATCTTTCTTGGCTGGGAAACTAGCCAAACCCCTGACCCCGCTCCCCCCCACCACGCTGGTAAACCCGGCCGGCGTCGCTCGGCACTGAGTTCAACTGTGGCTGGAAAATCAAACTCGAGGTCGCCGGGTTCATAGCAGGGTGCGCTAATCACTGCGCCACCGCTCCGCCCACCCACCGTTTAAACGTATTTATCGGTAATTATTGGCGGCGAAAGGTTACTCATGCGCATTTTGTATCCCCACGAACAATGACTCATGGATTTTATTCGTGAACAAAATGGGAATTATGTTTGTTTTGTTGCATTGTATTTAATTGGCTGATAATTTTCACCGTAATGGGTTGGTGGCTGTTGTGGTTGTGTTGATAGATCTGTGCCTGTTTGGGTCCCATGTTAAACCATTCTCCGTGATGATGACGAGAGAGGAGGGTGTTGTTGTTGTTGATGATGAAGATAAGGCTGATGCTGATGATGATCTTCTTCCGTACGGCTGATATAGATGCAAGCAACAACTACAATTTCACGTTCAGGTGGTCAAGCCAAACAACCCGCATCAGGAGTAGCGGAGTGTATCGCTTCGTATTTGTGGATCCACATTGCATTGTAATATGTTGTACGGTCTGTTCTGGATGACCACAGTCGCATGTTGGAAACTTTTTCATTTTTCATTTTTTGCATCAGGTATCCACATCTGCCATGGTTTGCGCAGTGGGTGTGGTTTAGGGTGGCCTTGGAGCTTCGTGGAAGATCAAATCCAGGGGATGATGATAATGATGACAACGGTCTTGGCAATGATGATGACGATGATGTTGCTAATGGTGTTGTTGACGAGGGACGATGACGATTAGCGTGCGCGTGTAAACGACGGCCGTGCCTTCCCAGGCCGGTGACACGGCTCACCCTGGTGTGGAGGAAGGACGGTGTGACGCTGCACAGCGGCATCAGCGACTGGGGCCGGCGTCTCACCGTCCAGAACCCGGGCCTCGGGGCGGCCGGCCTCTACGAGTGCGAGGCCGTCCTCAGGGGCAGCAGTGTGGCGCCAGCCTCCGCACGCGCGCACCTCTCCATCATCGGTGTGTGACCGATCATTACGGAAAGACGAACCTCCCCCATTATAGCCTTTAACAGACCGTTGTTGGGGCTAAGGACTGCTGTTAGCGAGCGGCGCCTGTGTAGGCCGGCATTCGCACGCGAGGGGGTGGGTGGCCGGAACCACGCGCTGACGTTGGCGATGTTTACACACCACAACCGAGTACTCGCTTGAGGCCGAGCTGACCTTGGGGAGGCCCAGGACCGGCTCAGACAATCGTCACTGCTCGCGGTCAATATCGGCGACGAATATGTAAACCGGCCCTCAGCCTTCCTCTAGGACAACTTAGCCTTAAATAAGTACCTGGTGCGGTGTATAAACCTCGCCACTGGAGTGACAGCGGCGGCCTGGTGTGGTGCTAGCCACACCACCTGCTCGTTTGCTGTGCCAGACCGGCCTTCATAGGAGCTACCCGCTAACAGCACTTGCCCCTCGAGTCTGTTAAGGCTATACGGGGGAAGCTTTCTATGCACGGCGCGGGTGAATTGATCAAGTTGCTTGGTGTAGGTGCGGTGTAGATACCAGAGCGTCCTGTCTCCCTCCTCCTTCCTCAGAGCCACCGTACTTGGTGCTGGAGCCTGAGAGGCACATGGTGGGAGAGGTGGAGAGCATCGTGGATATCCCCTGCCAGGCAATGGGTACAACACACACAGCACACGCGGCAAACACAGCACACGTGACATATACGGCACACGCAGCACACACGGCACATGCGGAATACGTGACGCATACGACACATGCGGCACACATGCTCCATACACCACGCAGCATGTGATACACACTAACACCACACACTAAAAACCACACACACACACCATACATACATACACTAGAAATCACACCCTCTATATACCACATCCTTTATATACCACACACACACACACACTACACACCTACACAGCATGCGACACACACCACACACCACGCACCGCACACACCATACGCACACTGCACTATACTCCACGAACTCCGTACACTGCTACATCATGCGACACATGCTACACACACAACACACCTTTCACTCAGCTGCACCCACCACACACAACGACACACCATGCACCGCGCGTAATTAAAGAGTGACGCGTGCGTGCGCGCGCGTGTGCTCGCGTTTTGCGGGGAGAGTGCGGGGAGGGGATTTCAGAGCCCTCCTGGTTTTTAAAGAACCGTTCTGTAAACACGCCCTGTGCGTATTGTCAGCCGCCTCTTTATTCTCAGATCGCTCCGTTCGCCGCTGACAGGTTTTTCATTCCGTTGCGATCGTTGTTCATCAAACCGCCCCGCGATGGCGAGTCGAAACGGAATTGGCCGGGTCGGTCAAACACAACGCCTGACAGCGGCCGCTCTGCACGCTTCCTCGCAGCCGCGCTCGCCCACTCGCAGAACGAGCAAAACAAAAAGGAATGTCCTTTCACACGGTCTCCCCTCCCCACCGTCTCCCCCCCCCCACCACCACCAACTCCCCCCCACCACAGTCTCCCGCCCCCCGCACCGACGCTTCTCCTAGTCGCTCTTGAGCGTGGAATCCTCCCGCTCGGTGCCGGTGCTCGCTGGGCTTAGTTTTAGCCCCAGCTGTCCGGGACTGAGCTCAAGAAAATATTCCACGTTTGAGTTTATTTAAATTGGTTTTCGCGGATTATCCAATTTAGCCAGTTGCCCGGATATTTTACACGGGAGATCAGGGTGGTGCTGCATGAGCACAGCAGCAGCAACAGCGAAGACGAAAAACATCGACACAGCAGACGACGAGTTCAAGCAGGGTCCTTCAGGAACACTGCACGACTCACAAACGAGGCGTTCAGTGGTCGTAAATGAAACGCACGCGCCAAAAAAAAAACGCAGTGCAGATAGAATGTGAGAGCAAGGGGTGCAGGTGCAAGTTAAGCTCTGTGTTTGAGTCTTAACAAGTGACACGAACTAAACAAGTTAGGTGTAGGTGCAAGCAAGCTCTGCGTCTTGGTTTCATAGTGAAATTAAGAGGGCGGAGTGACGTAAAGTTAAACCTATGCTGCCAGCCCTTTGGGAACCCGAAGCAGATATTATTTTGGGCCGCCCCCCGTCACCCAACCCTCCCCTCTTTCAATCGATACAGTCCTATTGAGACGACATATGGGATAGAGACGAGACATATAGACCTGTGGGAAGAGAAGAGATTCGCAGACAAGGAGAGCTGCTGCGCGATGGGAAGACGGTGGCAGACGGGAGAGATTCGTTGGCGTTTTGCGGTAGTCAGCGTTTGCTGAGGTTCGAATCTGAGCTGAGACTTATTTTGACCCCTCCCTCTCCTTTTTTTTGATCACCAAACCGAGCTCCCTTGATCCTCTTTTGAGCCCCGCACTCCCGGCTTGGTTTTGCTCTCGCCCGGCGCCACCACGGCCTGTCCCGCCCGCCCGTGCCGATCGGCGCGTTTGACCTCTCGCTGGGATAGGTCGCCGCTCGTTATCTGCTGGTGAGCGGGGTTGAGCTCGTTAAGCGCCAGCGCGCACGGCCGCTGTTGATGGCGCGCATGGAGGCTGCTGTGTGACGTAATCCCCTCTCTGCTAGAGCCTCCTCCTCTCTCATCCACCCCTCCTTCCCCTGTCCCAACACCACGTGTGTGTGGGCGAAAGCGGTGTTTTCTAGACGTAAGAATATGCCGTTGTGTCCCCATAGTGATCGCGGAGGGCTTGTCAACGTAAGCTCCTGAGACACAAGGCAGAGTGGTAGCAGGCAAGGGCGGATAGCAATTGATGATTGCTAGCAAGGGTGAAACTGCTACACCACATGGTCGTCTCATTGTCCTGCTGTTGCCTAAAATAGTTCAATAATATTTACGGCAGCAGCCATGGTCTATTGACTGCTGGGTGAAAGCCTTCCCCAAATAATTGCCACCTCTCACAAGCTTGTTGTGTAACAACCCTCCTTGAATAACATGGCCACAGTGCTGACCATGTCGGGTTTGTGGTCTGAAACAAAGCGTTGTTTGTTGTGACACGCAAGGCATGCTGGGAGGACTGAGCTTCTGGTCACCACGGTTCCCTATTGCTGTCGATAAATCACCATTTGTGACTCGTATCATTATTTTTATCACGATTGTGCATTTATTTTCAGCATGCACGCCCTTTCCTCTATTTTGCATCGTTTAGACAAGGCGCGAGGGTTGGTGTGAGCCTGCGTTGTCGCTTAGAGGAGGGTCGCTGTGAGGTGGCGTCATTGGCACGCCGAGTGTGCGTGCGGTTCGCGAGCTGTGCTCCCACGCCCTCCCGCACGCTCTCTCGCTAAACGCTTGGCTCGCGCGCGGTTAAGCGGTCACGTTAACAATTTAACGAGGCACAGTTAGCGGAGGAATCTCTCTGCTAAGGTCCAGCTTGAAGGAGATCAATACCCGCGGCAGATTTCTCAAAATCATTATTTGATCGAGCGGCGAATAAATCACGTGCAGTTATCCAAACGCTCTCTAAACTGTGTTTGTAGGTGGAAGTATTAGAAGTATTTATTGGCACTATGCAAGCTGACCGGCAGCTGTCAGGGCAAAACGCATTTGCATATATGAAAAAAACATTTTTATTGCTGTTTTTTTGTCTGCACACTCGGCTGAGTCTCACACAGGAGCACATTTATACACGAAAGTTACGTTCGTATCGGATCAACTTTATGACAGTTATCGTGCCTCACCCCCTGTTACGGACGGACGGTGGAACTGATGGATCCACGCTTGCAGCATTAACAATCGCGACGCCCACCCTCCCCTCGTCATCCCCTCCTCCTTACTTAAAAACAACTACCCTGACCCCCTTTCGGTGGGACCCCAGCCAGGTTTGGGGCAACGGGGTCCGTTCCCCACCTTTCTATCCCCTGCTTTTTATAACCCACTTGGTTTATTTTGACGCGGGAGGCGTGGCGGTCCGCCGTCGCGGGGAGCGGGCACCTCTGTTGGCGTTGGGCAGCAACCGGCTCAGCCCCTCCTCTGCCTGTGACGTTAATACGTAAAAAAAAATGGACTTCTTTTGCTTACAAGCTGCAATGCCGACGGAGTTCGTGGGAAGTGTCGTGAGGCCTATACATTTATTTTGAAATGACTGAAATGACGGTGAATTAATTGCGGCCCTCGCGTACCCAAATGGAACATCTCGGGCCTCGCGGACCACTTTGCATTTTTGTGAGCGGTTTGGTAGTCCCAATTGGTTTTTCGTCATTTCCTCCCCCGGCTATCATCTTTGCTTATACCAGTACTCCTGCCACCCCCCCCCCCCCCCACCGAACATAGCGTTCTCGGCGCGTGGAACAAAAATAATCTGCCAGACGCCCGTGATTTCCCTCTAAATCATTTCCCTCCATGCAAAATGTGGCAGTGGGGGTGATTTTTTTTTTATTATTAAAGTAATATTGCCAATGATAATAATAATTCTTCACGGATAGGAGCTTACGGATCGGGAGGGGCGGGGGGGGTGGGGCGTTGTTGCCATGAGAAGGCGCCACGTCAGGGGCTCCGTCGGCGTCGTGCTCCGTGCGGTGCATGCACGGCGGCTGGCGCGTGTGCGCGTGCGTGCCCACGTGCGTGCCCACGCGCGTCCCTAATAGCCGAACAAGGCTAATATAATTTCACGGGCGGCAGAGCGGCGGCCTCCGGACGTGTCATTTAGTTACCATAAATTTCGTAAGCACACCGAGGCTTCGCCCGTGGATAGTGGGGTAATTCATCATGTACGCTTTAATAAACCGGCATAAACTGATGAAATATTTTCATCATATTTTACACGGTGGATATTGCAGGGGCGGGGGGAGGGTCAGCTGGGGGCTTTGAGGGGGGGCGGCGGGATTAGGTGGCGTGACCGGGGGGGCGGCCTGTGGATCAAGATCAAGATGCCACTGTGGCCTCGCCCGCCGATCCCTCTGCACCTTGCCAATGCCCCCTACCTCCTGCCCGGTCCCGCAGCCGCTGCTCGGGAGCCACGCGGCGACCTCCCGGGGTGCGGGGAGACGGGGTGTCCGTACGCATCCCTCCGCGCACTAATTTTTTCCCGAGTTGGAATCCTGCTGCTGTTGTATCCTGGGGTGCCGCACCCCTGTCCCGACGTCACCGCTGCACTCAGTAGAGATTCTACGCAAATCGGTCGGCGTGTTGGACGATCCAGAACTCACCGATTCGCTCCGGTCGCTCGCTCGTCCGGTGGGTCAGTCGTCGCTCCTCGTCACTCTGATATTGCTACAACCATGGTCATTATCGAGCACCCCTGTTGAAGACTCGGTCTCTACCGGACCAACTCTTTGGCCTCGTCCACCACCACCAAACTGTGTTCGGCCACAATGCCTTTTCAAGCGGTGGTCTCCGTGCGTTCCCTACAGGCTCGCCGCGACCATCACTGCAGTGGTACAAGGACGCGGTGCGCGTGGGCGACCTCTCGGCCAGACGCTTCGTCGTACTGCCCAGCGGGAGCCTGCAGATAGGCCGCCTGGAGCCCGACGACACGGGCATCTACCAGTGCGTGGTGTCCAACCAGGCCGGGGAGGTGCAGACGTACACGCACCTCTCGGTCACCAGTGAGTATTTGCGACGGACGCCGGGTGGTCCTGCACAAGACAAAGATCAACCGGTGTAGCCTTAGCACACTGTTGGGGCAAGTGCTGTTAGCGAGCACCTATGAAGGCCGGCACGGCACACGAGGGAGGTGGGTGGCCAGCACCACGCTCGGCCGCCTTTGTCTCCCGAGTGGCAATGTTTACACGCCGCTCCAGGTACTCATTTGAGGCTGAGTCGACCTAGGGGAGGCCCAGGGCCAGATTCAGATAATTGTCACCGGTTCTTGACCGTGAGTGGGAATTGAACCTGGGTTTTCAGGGCGGCGTTCTAACCGCTGCACTACCGCACACGTGCACATCGACACACACACACGCATGCACTCGCACCCTTGGGGCATGAACACGGCCCAGCCGTAGTGTGTTCGCCGCAGGCCGCCCTGGTTAATACCACGGGGCTGCATTCAGCATGAAATGCCACATACTTCGGAGTGGCCGTTAGAGATCCCCCTGACGTTCTGAGCGATTTGGCCATTGTGTGCTGGCGCCAGTCAAAATGCAGCAATAATCGCCCCCTACTGAGGGCCTTAATGCCCGGTGTGCGCTCGATAGCTTATGCCCATGGCGTGCTTGACAAATTGCACTCATTATCCCCCCCACACCCCAGAGTCTTGTCGTTTCATGTTCACAAATATCCTTCAATCATGTGGCGCTGCTCGGATATCAATTTGTGCGTCTGCTTTAGCAACAACAGATGCCCGCATGTTATATATGTGTACCATATATGGCGCGCTGTAAACCCACCTCACTGTGCTCCGACTATAAATGAGATTTGCGTGCGTTGTCCGGTAAACACGAACATCTTGACCCTGGTTGGGATGAGACGGGGCATGAACACTTAAGTTTGAAAAGCGCCATTTTCATTCCAACTTCAAATGACCGCTACGCTTTCAGTCGACAGCCAGAGGGCCCTAGGCCTTTCCTGACCGCCACTCCCCACACGACCCAGCTCTTCCCAGTTACCCCCCACCCATTACCGCTCTTCCCCATCGTCATCTTTCACCTTGCCCGTCGCGACCGTCGCCCACAGGCATCGCCGCCAACATCACGCGAGGGCCGACCGACACGCTGGTCATCGAGGGCCACGCGATCGTCCTGCCGTGCGAAGCGCTGGGAGCTCCGCGCCCGTCCATCACCTGGCAGAAAGGTGGGAGGGGGGGGGGTGGGGGGGACCCACAGCGGCCCGCGCGTCCCGTGTAGAGAGCGGCTCCCACGCGTTCGTTGTTATTTTTCCACTGCGGGAAGCAGAGCCGCGCCGTGTAAAGGGCGACGCGGTGACCCTGTGCCCCTCACCGGCGTCGAACGCAATTGACGAGTCGTTAGCCCCGCCCCTGGGCCCTGCTTGGCCCCAAACCGGATTCAGATGTGTCGCGAGGCCAGTGCGTCACGGTTTGGTTCCGGCTCGGCACGACAAATAGCCAGTGGGCGCATGATGCCGGCTTGGCTCGAGTGTGCCAGTGGAAAAAGGGTGTCAATTGAGGGTAAACTCTGAAACTCAAGGTCGAGGGGTCACCATAACCAGTGTCAATGATGCCACCACTCCTGGACCATCTCTTCCATCCCGCCAGATCACGCGGCCGTCATACGGTCGACACTCAATGCCCTCCCGTACGTCGTAACCCACCACGTGGCTTCAGTTCACCGCTGACCTCCGGGGTACCGCTGCAGCGTCTGTCCCGGTGCCTCCCCGTTCCTCCGTCCTGCACAATGCTAGAATGGAGAACTCTCAGCGCCTCTTTGCCTTGTTGACCGTCAAATGTTTTTTCATTCTCTTGTGCCATCCATTTGCTGCGGGCTCAAGTCACACGTTGGCAAGTGGGCACTTTGATGATTTTTTTTCGAGTGTTTAATAATAAGGCGCCTGTCAGATCCGTTTGACGCTTTGTTTGCGCTCAGAGGCATTCGGCACGGTGAGGGACGGCGCACAAAAATCAAACCCGTGTCAGTGATTGATGAATCAGTCTCCTCTTAACAAATGGGTCCGCCGCGTAGCCGTGAGAAATAACTGGCACCACCCCCCCCTCCCCGCCTCCCCTTTGAGCTCGTTTAAATCCACTAACATGCTCCCGTAAATTCCACTCGGTTTTTTTTTCGACAATCTTGTAAGAGAGGAAGGCGCAGAGGTGCACCGCGAGCCATGGGGCCCAGGCCGCCGGCGCACGGAACGTGCAACGCAACTTCAGGCGCTCATGAACGACGGCCCGGCAGGCTCAGAATGTAAACACGATTTGTCAGTGTTCGATTTCACGTTAGCTTTTAATCGCAACGCATTTTTAAACGCGGCCAATCAAAGTTAATATTTTGCTTCTTTCCTTTCGGCTTTTGTTGCCGACAAGGATGGGGGGGGGGGGGGCAATTTTTCATCTCTCACTCGACGGAAAAATAATCATTGTCGAGCTTCCTTGGTTTTGCCGGAGTAATTAATTAAATGGTCCCGTTTGTGAAGTTCTTATTCCTTTAATGCAGTATTCCTGAAACTGTGGGCCACGACCCGCAGCGGTTTTGCCGTTGTCATTGGATTGGGGTCACGACCCAGGCCAATAACAATAATGGTACGAGTAGAAAAGCAAGGAACGACGTCTGCAGTGCGGTTCCACTTCCCAGTCAAGGCTGCAACACGGCGGCCATCGACGTAATCATAGCAGCCCCCGAGCACCTCGTCGTGTGATTATTAAACGGTAAAGGCTGTGCTTTTACCGTTACACTTGTGCTCATGGACTGGGCGACGTCGCTGTCCCGTCTCTCTCACTCTGTTCTCTCTCTTCCCTCTCCTCTCTCTCACGCGCGCCCCCACCGTGCCCCCCCCCCCCCCCCACCGCGCTGGTGCAGACGGCGGGGTGGTGCTGGCGAGCGGCTCGGTGCAGACGGCGCGCTTCACGCTGCTCGAGTCAGGCGGGCTCCTGGTGAGCCCGGCGCGGCTCGGGGACGCCGGCAGCTACAGCTGCGTGGCGACCAACTCGCGCGGCGCCGACTCGCAGGAGGGCAGCCTGCTGGTGCTCGGTGCGTTGTGCACGCTGGGGCCCACGCTGGCGCCCGCTCACAAAAAATTCCTTCGATGGGCTAAGAGGCCGCCAAACGAGCCTCACGGTCACGAGGTGTCGCTAGCCAGAACGTGTCGAGTCGTCAGATGTCACCGCTGGATAATTTACCGAGCGGTGTGCGCAAGCTCAACCAGAAGGGTATTCCTTGTACGTCCCTGGAACTGCGGCGCTAGGCCGTGCACCGGGTACGACGGTGGCTCAGAGGTAGAGCGAGCTGCTCGCAAGCGGAAGGTTGCGAGTTCAAATACCGGTTGTGGTTGACTCAGCCCATCATCCCTCCGGGGTTGATAGAACGAGCACCACTTTATGGGGAAGTCCACTGTGGTTTTTCTTATAGATAGACTCGCCCCCGCCACAGGAACGTGGGATTTTCACCACTGGTTCAGGGGCTGGACAGATTATTTGAGCACCGCAACGATGCTCATTTGAGCAGCAAGGTATCACTCTCTGGCACGGAGTGAACTGATTCAAGAACCTAAACGTACAACGGGAACCGCTCCCAAATCAGTTGAAGTCACTGGGTTTGTCGCTTTGCCAAAATGTTGTCGCTTCAGAAAGCCAAAACGTCGCGAAATTTCGCGACGAAATCACCGAGTTGACAACACCGGTTGCTCGGTGCCCACGGTAATGCACGTTGGTTGCGGTTGCCGTGATACGGTGGTAGTGGGGTACATCACGCTAGCGCTGGGCTGTCCAGTTATCTGAGTGACCGGTTGGTCCACTGAATATCCGTGCCATTACTTGACCAATTGGATAACGCGAAAATAGTTCGAAGGCGTATTGACGTGTACCGCTGGACGGGAGGTTAGGAGCAGGGCACGGTACCATCAGGCGAGTCCCACTGGGCGTGGCTCACAGGGGATTTCCAGCGTTGAGGAGGCAGGCTGTCTGGGTGACTGCCATCCGTAACAAGGACCTGAGGAGTCGACCACCGAACGGAGTGGTCTATTGCAGTCGTCCCGGCTCAGCATGCCATACTTCACCCTGCATAACAACAGGAGGCAGTGACACCGTCCCGTTTCGTACACATATCCTGGCATGGCAGTGGCCTCAGCCTGAACGTAATCGGCGCCCTGGGCAAACAAAGAAGTCACCGCCGGGGTGAGAGTAATCCTCGAGTAATAACCCTGTCACGTGTTGTAATTGTTAATCCGTCGCGCGAACCCTTTTGTGTGAACGTCGCCCAAAATACGCGCTCTACATGGTGGGCAGTGGAGGACTGTACGGCAGAATCCAGTGTTGTACCGTACTTCTGTGCTCCCACATCTGTGCTCCCCCCGCTATAATCCGCATCGACCGGCATGGGTGAAGTATGGTCAAACAACACCCACGACCCAGCAGTGGATTGCCAGCGGGTCCGGGACGTGTCGCACTCCACATTTAATGCTGCGCCGTCTTGACGGCGCGCGCCGCGACGCGTGACAAAACGCCGCCGTAAATTACACAAAACGGCGACGCGCGGGCCGAGCGCACGAGACGCTCGGCGAGATAGCACCTAACGCGAGCTGACAGTCACGACAGAGCGCGCGGGAGGAGAGCGCCCGCGCGACGCTTAACACAAACGCCTTCCCACGGCGCAGTACGGCGGCGCGACGTTGTTTATTCAGGAGCGGCTCGCCGTCGTGCGCATGCGGCGGGCGCAACGCAGCGCGGCGCAATACGTCTGGCAAACTTGCTGAGACGTGCCGTTCGTCTTGGCGCAGCAAATTCGTTTGCCCCTGCGCTCGTGTACGAGAGACGGAAAATTTTCCATCAGTCGGCCGCCCCACGTACAATAGCGGCCCTTATTATTATTATAGCCTGAAGGTTATACAAGTACAATAATGCCATCGTTGTGGGCACATTTTTGCGTTGGCTCCTTAAAAACTGGATCAATATAATGCGTCAATAAATGGAGAAGAAAAATAAAATAACATATCAAATGAGACGACACGAGATTTTGTTCAATAATAATAATACTTTATTCATTACGGCTCTACAATGTGTCTCGGGGTTGTGCTACGCGCGCGAGCGCCCGCCGTTTTTCGCTCCGCAGCGCCAGGAGCTTCTTCGGGAACCCAACTGGAAGAAGGCTCCCGCGTGGTGCGACTACGAAAACGCTTGGGAGATCCGTACGGCACGCGGCAGTGTCAGATCGTTCCTCGTTTACTCGGCGAGCGTTCGCCGAGTCTTAGAAGCCTCTTTTGGGGAGGGTGCCGCTAAACTGGGACGTTTGGCCGCGAATTCCAACAATGAGAGTTGGAATTCGCGGAGACCGGAGAACCCGGAGAGTGTTTGGCTAAATCTCTCAAGCAACATCACGCTTTCGGGTTTTTTTAGCCAAAAAAAAAAGAGAACAAAAATGTTTCAACTGATTGTTTCCCTTTCTGCCATGTTCCGCCTGACGTTGCCGCCACCCAGCGCGCACACAGATCACGGTGCCCCCGCAGGATCGCAGCGTCATCAAGGGCACAACCGCCGAGCTGACCTGCAGCGTCACCCACGACCCCACCGTCGAGATAAGGTCAGCGCAGCTACGTGCTGGAACGGGGCCGGTTTCACGATAACGCTCGTAAAGATGATGATCCTGTATGAACAAAACCCTTTTATAGACGCGTGTTGCTCAATATTGAAAACTGGCCGAATAGATTAAAGGATCACCTGCCAAAACTTGCGGACGGAAAAAAACAGTGCTAAAAGGATGACCGTATTTACAAATATGCCAACGCATTTTACCTTGACGGCTACACGTCGGCGTACACGCCACCGTTCAAATAACTTCCAGAGTCAAAACGCACATCGGAACGTTGTGCGATTTGTTCGAACCTGTTATTATCTTTCAGGCACGTGTGGGAGAAGGATGGGGCGCCCATGAGCGTGGGCTCCGTCGGTAGGGTCTCGCAGAGCCCCGACGGCTCGCTCGTCATCACCCAGACGTGGTCGGGGGACATCGGCACCTACGCCTGCCGCGTGACGTCGCTCGGAGGGAACGACTCGCGCAGCGCTCGGCTGGAAGTGAGGTGCGTCGCGACGCCACGCTGGCGCCCGACACCCGCGCGCTGGCAGCTGATCACTCACCCCGTGATGATGGCGGCGGCGGTGCTGGTGGTTGTTCTGATTTCGCTGGTGGTGGCGGTGCTGCTGGTGACGGTGGTGATTCTGGTGGTGATATTATTATTATTATTCATGGTGGTCGTGATGGTGGTGTTGGCTCTGGTGGTGCTGATGGTGCTGCTGGTGGTGGCTTTGGGACGCCTTCATCCAGCAGCGTATTGATCATGGCTGCTGCTGATGGTCATGATGATGATAACGGTGATGATGGACTCACGCCGGCCTGGTGCGTTGCCCTGCAGGGAGCTACCGCACCCTCCGCAGAACCTTCGCGCGCGGCAGAGCGAGGAGCGGAGCCGCGCGCTCGAGCTGTCCTGGGTTCGCCCGTTCGATGGAAATAGCCCTCTCATCCGCTACGTGGTGGAGATCTCGGAGAACAGTGCGTGCGGCGCCGTGCCACTCACCCACCCACCACTCGCCACACTGCAGGCTACAATGACACACTCACCCACTCACCGCATTTCAGACCACAACAACACACCCACCCACTCACCCACCTACTCACCGCACTTAAGACCACAACAACACACTCACCCACTCACCCACCCACTCACCACACTGCAGGCCACAACGACACACTCACCCACTCACCCACCCACTCACCACACTGCAGGCCACAACGACACACTCACCCACCTACTCACCGCACTTCAGGCCACAGCGATGCTTCATCACCTGCACTGCTGCACTCTGTAAATCTCTCATCGTCTCTTCCTCCCCCACAGTAATAACCCTGCTCAATTCACGACACGTGTTATCTGTTGTACTTCTGTGAAAACTCATTATGCGTTGCTGTGGAGCATTTCGGTTAAATGTGAATATTAGCAGAACTCCCTTCTCCCTCCACACGTTAATCCAATATTAGCCCACAGGCCTATCGCCTTTCAAGACCACCAATTTCCACAGCGGCATACGTATAAGCGAGCAAACTCTGGATAGTGCTGCCTTTCGCTGGCCAGTTAGCATTTTAAGAACGGTGAAAATAACACAATCACCGCTGAGGAATTGAGAGGGATCACTGGACGTGATTTCTCCCGGCATGAAAATACTTCCCGGGCCGCTGATCGATCCGGCGGCACAGCCGCAGCGAGCGGTAAACTTGATGCGGCGTGCCGGACGCACTGCAGTCTGTTTTGACGGGTCCCCCCCGTTTGACCGGCGGTAGTAGGTGGCGCGCCACCCGTGCCCGCACCCGCAGCGAGGGGTGTGCCCGGTGTGCGGATGAGCCGACGCGGTCAGTCCGGTAGACCGAGTCCTCCCGCCGTGGCCGGTGGGGGGGGCTGAGCATATTGACCGTGCCGCGCGTGGCGGCTCACCCCCCACCCCCCCCCGTCCCCCGTGTCTCCCCCCCCACGCAGACTCCCCCTGGATGGTTCACCTCTCCAACGTGGACCCGCAGGCCACGCGCCTCTCGCTCACGGGGCTCGTGCCCTCGCGGACGTACCGCGTGCGCGTCTGCGCCATCAACGACGTCGGCCGCGGCCAGTTCAGCAAGGAGACCGACAGGTGCGGCCGCGCGGGGCGGGGGGCCACGCGGGGTCCACACGGGGGGCTCATGGTGGGCCCACCGGGGAGCCATGGGGGGCCCATGGGGATCCAGTTGCCGAGCTATAAAGAAGAGGGGGGGACATTGGAGAGGTAGGGGCGCCGTTTAATTTCTTCCACCGTCACATCCTCCGCGCTCTGGTTAAGGCTTTGTCGCGTAGGAGAGCAGTAGAATGATTGGGTCTGCCCACCACGTAGGCCTGCAGCCCGTGGACATCCAACCAAGAGCCGTCCACGCTCAATACGGCTTGCGTTCCGAGATGCGACGATTGTGGGCGATTGGGTCGTATATATTTAGATCGTGCCGTCATTGTCACGATCTAATCCGTAATTCACCGGCCTCTACTGACCAGTGTGATGAAGTACGGAAAGAAACACGGCTCCCCACGACCGACACCGCGTGGGAAATCCTTCATCCAGCAGTGGATTGAGAAGGGGCTGAAAATGATCATCATTCCTAAGTTGGTCTGCGGTGCCAAATTGAAGATGAAGAGGCTGCGGTGGAAGTGGTGAAGAAGACAAGCAACGTGTAATTATACACCGTCACGTTCATCGCCGACAATAGAATAACAAATAGATGTAGCGAGGCTGGAAATACAAATGCTGTTGACTACAAGGCTGGCTTTGTAAATTCTAATTATCGTGCTTATCTACACGGCGAGGTCTGTAAGTGACTGCCTCTTGACTCAGAGCGTAACCGAGCTGCGTGGTGAATAACGGTTCACGCGAGCCCAGAGCTCCCTCCGACGACCCGAGTGATCGCTCGCCCTACCGGTTATCGGTTCCATTTCTCTACTAACTGGGTAATAGTTGGGGGGGGGGGGTGGGGGTGAAGGTCACGGCCTCTGCTAGCACGCGTGCCGCTGAACAAGAGGTGATGGGCGGGGCTTGGTGACGTCAACGGCCTCGTCGTCGGCCGCGTCACTCTGGGCGTGGCTTGTGGGGCGTTTCGCGCCTTTTGGGAGGCAGGGTGTGTGGACGGCCCCCATTTGTAGAGGGGCGCGAGAACTCAACCACAGCAAACAAAGTCGGCGGTCGCACTTTCCCCCCCGCTGAATCCACTCATCATCCTGGCACCACCCCTCCCTCCCATCAACCTCCCTCCCTCCCTCCCATCACCTCCCATCAACCTCCCAGTTGATGGGTGCTGCGCCCACCGTAAGCCTCGAGCGCCGGCGGGGCAATGTCACGCCGGTGACGACTACGATGACTACGGTCCCCTTGTCGCGTTGGGAAGGCCGCGCCCGCGAGGCAACGCGCTGGCGTGCCGGAGCTCGTCGTCGTCCCGACGTTTGGAGCAAGGCCCGTCCTCCGTCGCGCGCGGCACTCTGATCTTCAGCCTCGCGCACTCACTCACGGGCCCTGCCGTGCACGCTTCCACGACGCACGTTGCCGTGCAGCAGCGGGCACTGCAGACAAATTGATTGTTGTACCGTACTTTCAGTGCTCCCGCATCGATGCTCTCTCCCCCCACCGGCTTCACCAACACCGCACTGACCAGCGTGGTGAAGCACGCTCAAATAACTACCCTGACCCCCCGCCATCCCCACCACCGCCGTGTCCCGCGCGGCGTGAGTAGGCACTCATCCAGCAGTGGATTGACAAAGAGAGAGCTGTGCGCGGACACTGCAGCGCAATGAACGCGCCGCACTGCGAGCGTGCAAGGCGCGTGACGACCACGTGCCGCGGTTTACACGGTAACGACGCGGGGCCGTACGCCTGGGCGCCGTGGAGGCTGCCCCCCACCCCCCCCCCCCCCCCCCGTCTCCGCTCTGCTCGCTGCTGCCGATTGCTGTTGACAGGCGGCACGCGTTGTCTCGCCTTGGCGCTGTAAGTGGGGCCGGGTTAGATGGGGCAGCGCTGAGACCGATGTGGGTCGTTCACTCCCCTCCTTCCTGCTCTGCCTGATCTCCCCTCTCTCCCTCTCTCGCCCGCTCCCTCTCCCGCCCCCCCCCGTCTCTCCCTACCCGCTTCCACCTCAAGGCTGACCCTGCCGGAGGAGCCCCCCGGAGCCCCCCCGCAGAACGTGATTGCGAGCGGCCGTACGAACCAGTCCATCATGATCCAGTGGCAGCCGCCCCCCGAGAGCCAACACAACGGCGCCCTACGCGGTTACGTCATCCGGTGAGCGAGACCCCGCTGGCGCGTCCGCCGCCCGTTGTGGGAGATGCACGGTTCGAATCCGGAAGGCGGCCCCGGTTAATACCGCGGATGTACTCTCCGTAAAATAACTGCGTGCCTATTCTAGATTGAAAGCTTTCGTGACTGCAAGGATCCATGCTCTTTGGTTCTATTGGGTAAAGTCACGTAGGTAAAAAAATAAAATAACAAAAATCACGACGTTTCGGCCACAACACAAGCGGCCTTCATCAGGTGAAGGGACGAGACTGTCTGGAGGACAGCGCTGGGGAGGGCTTTCACCTATCTGTTAGAGCTTTTAACAGACAACGGGACAAGAAGTCACAGCTCATCGAGACGCTGACCTTCCTCAAAAGATGCCGCGATCACAAGGCGCTTTGTTTCTTCTCACACAGCTTAAAGGTCGTGATCTGAGCGTGGCTTTTTTCACTCCAGCGCTGTCCTCCAGACAGTTTCGTCCCTTCACCTGATGAAGGCCGCTTGTGTTGTTGCCAAAACGTCGTGATTTTTTTTTTTTACCTACGTGACTTTACCCAATAGAACCAAAGAGTAACTGCGTGCCGTCTGCTTCACAGCGGACGTTACAGATCGCCCGGCTTCATTCGAGACGAGTGGGCCACGGTGTGCTGGCATCACACGGTCCATCGTCGAAAGATTAAATGGGATTGCACACAGCATGAGCAGCAGTCATCGCCCCCTACTGGCAGACTAATGCCTGCTTGTAGGCCAGGTGCTGCTTCACTGTGCACCACACAGGGACATGTGCCGCTGGGGGGTGCCCTTTCGAACGAGTTGAAACGAGGTGTAAGTCGCTTGTCGCGTGTCCAGCTTTCCGAGACGCCATGGAGTAAAGAGCGTCCTATCAAAACCAACGAAGTTCGTTGTCATCTTCATCGTCGTCATCTCCTGTCTGTCACCAGTCGGGAAACCCAGCTCCTAGCCCCCTCTACTCGATCCGTCCAGGATGCGCAGCGGCACGGCGAGGTGGCTCACGACTCGGGATGGGGATCGACTCAGTCCATCATCCCTCCGGGGTCAATAAATTAGTTCCCCTTTGTGGGGAAGGCAACGGTGGTAGACATATGTATGGAGAGTCGTCCCACCCACCCCCCCGCCATAGGAATGTTGAAGTTCCACCACTGCCTCTGCAGAGATGTAAATGGGAGATGGGCTTCAATCCCTCCAATGAAGATTTTTTTTGCAGGAGCTCACTTTGTGCGTCATGAGATGGTGTACGGACACTGTGTCAAGCCACATTGCCAAAATGCCCGATGCAGTGTATGAAGTGCATCGTAATCATCATCGTCATCAGCCATGATCAATCCACTGCTGGACGGAGGCCTCCCCGAGCCGTCTTTGACGTAATAATCCACCTGGTTCCTGCACGCGAGCCGAATTCGTCGCCGCGTCTCCTCCTCCACCATCACCTCTTCTTCCTCCTCCTCTCCATCGTCGCTGTAAATGCAACTTTATGTTTTTGCAGCTTCAGACAGAGCATTGTCATAAATAATTAGCTTACGATTTACCGTCCTTTTAAAAGTTCAAATGTAATTGATTAATAAATAGGAGAAAGATAATTACATTTAAATCAAGTATTTGAATAGGAAACCACTTCTAAAACAATTACCTGCTTGTTTGCCGATGCGCGGTCGATGTCCGTTGAGTCTTGAATGTCGCGATCGTTATATATATTTATTTACTTTTCTATCCCTCCCCACTCTCAGCTACCGCTTGGCGGGGCTTCCCGCAGACTACCAGACGAGTAACATTACGGGGGCAGAGGTCACAACCTTCCTGCTGGAAGAGCTCATCGTCTGGACGAACTACGAGCTGGAGGTTGCGGCGTTCAACGTGGCCGGGTTGGGCCCGTACTGCGCCACCGTCACCGAGTGGACGCTGCAGGGAGGTACGCGCCCGCACGCAACCCGATCTCGGCGCTGTCCATCACCGCGTTCTCGCCGATTGTAACGGAATTTTCTCTCCTGTATATTAAAGCACTAGATTATGGTCAAGTAGCTACAGGTGCGGGTGTGTGTTCCGACTAGATTCGTATAACTTTATTCATTCACGTCCCGTATAGTCCCCTTGCAACTATGTCAAGTGATCTTGTTTAGCACGGTTGCCAATGTACGGTGTGAAAAAAGTTCAGCATGCATACATACAACCTTTGTCCTGGGTCTCACCCCTGGATGTGCATGAGCCTGTGATGCCCATAACCTAATTTTAATGATTTTCAGCATTTCCTTTTGGTGGTTAAAATAAGAGCCACTCTGTGAGCAGACTACAGTGGTTGCTTTGCGGAGAGAGAGGCCGGCCCTTGCCATATGCACGTGGAGTTGCCACATCTTGCTCAGGGCCGTCAGTGGAGTTGAGTGTTTGAGCCGGGAGACACTTCGCGAACCCAAGCGGGTGCTGCTGCTCCGTCCTTCTCAGCTCACTTTTCAGTTCTTGTTCTTGGTTCTTTCGGTAAAGTCTTTCCAACAGCTCTGTTCTTCACCTGAGGACGGCTGCTTGCGTTGTGGCCGAAAACGTCGTGAGAATTTTATTATGTTTTATTTTTTATTATTTTATTGTTTAATTTTTATTATTTTATTATTTCCCTTCTACGTGACTTTACCGAAAGAACCAATAATATGAATTCCTGCAATCACGAAAGCTTTAAATCGAAATTTTCAGTTCTTGTTCCAGAGTCTTTGTCAATCTCTCCCTGTTTCTCATCAACTTTTATTAAAGCCGGTGCTGTTCACAGGCTTCCCTATGGAAGTTCTGTGCCATGCAGAGTATTTGACTATAAATATGTAATGTACGGATCGTTTCAAATGTATTAAAGGCTCTTACAGACATATCGCAGAGGTATGTGACATGGGCAATTTATATATTGTACGAGGTACTGCAGATGTCTTATTAAAGATAAAATGTATGTCGTCTCATCCACGAGATTGTACGTGCAGACACAAGCGTTCTAATAAAAGCTCTCGTTTTTGGCAGCAGTGGCGGCGGTGGTGGGGGCAGTGGTGGTGGTGGTGGTGGGGGCAGCAGTGGTAATGGATGTGGTGGGGTCAGTGGTTGTGGTGGATGTGGTGGGAGCGGTGGTGGTGTTGGCGGTGGTGGGGGCAGTGGTGGTAGTGGATGTGGTGAGGGCAGTGGTCATGGTGGATGTGGTGGGAGTGGTGGTAGTGGCGACGGTGGTGATGGTGGTGGTGGCGGTGGGGGCGGCAGTGGTGGTATTTGTTGTGGTGGTGGTGGCGGTTGTGGTGCCTCGCCGTGTTTCACTCTCGGTGGGATGTTCCTCGTGCGGTTCTGGCGCGCGCAGTGCCGACGGTGACGCCGGAAAACGTGAGGGTGGTGGCGCTGAGTTCCACGGCCCTCAAGTTCACCTGGTTTCCGCCAAACCCACAGTTCATCAACGGCATCAACCAGGGCTACAAGGTACAGCAGCGGCGCCTGCCTCCCCAGCTTCCCCGCACGTCTACCAAGAACCGGCTTTATCGCCGTGGCATTTATGTCGATAAAAGCCAAAATGTGGATTAGATCCGTTCTGAAAAGTCACAGCCGAGATTTAGATTTCAGTTGCGTCTGCTTTACCAGTTGTGTTTATTTCCTGTCTGGCGCTGCTGCTGCTGCTGCTGCTGCCGCCTTATCGTTTCGTTGTGAAATGCACGCGGCCTCCAATGGATAATTTTAAAAGTTGTCGGCACAAGCTGTGCTCAAGTTGCAGATGGCTTGCTGCTAAAAAAAGGTCACTAAACCTGGGGCCCGTTACAGGACTTGAGCTCGCAATCGGTGGGCGGTGGTGACGAGCTCCTTCCGTGCGGTACGCCCTTGATTTCCAAACGGCTCTCGGGGAGTAATGAGCGGACACACGCTGTGAACCGCCTTTCCTCCCCAGTCGCGACAAATTAGGCGCCGTGCCCATCGATAGATGCTCCATCGCTGTCATTCTCAGTTGTCTCAGTGGCACCACTCTAGAATTCCCCTTTTTGCTCATTTTCAACTCAAAAGACCAACGTGAAAGAACACGTGTTGTCACTGCAGACTGCGAGGGAGAGTGCGAGAGTTGTGCATGCCGTTGCTTTAGAACGACAGCGCTCAATGGAGGTGCGTGCCAAGTGGCTGCAGAATTAAATGCGGCATCGCCAGGGCTTCACTTCTCACCGATCAGTTAATGGGTCAGCAACAGCAGCCACAATGAGAGGGCATGGTGGATGCGGTGTGCCGTGTATGGAATCATTTTCCAAGTTGCTGACGTGGACCAGGTTATTGGGACACCCCCAAAATTCTAATGCATCCATCCATTAATTCAGGCACAAATACATTTTGCCATTTAGCAATTCATCAATTTATGTATGCATCAATTTTCAGTTAATTCATCCATTCATTCATTCATGCGTTAATTCATTGATCCGTGCATCCAATTATGCATTCATTGGCGCGTTGATTTATTCATCCATTCATCCATCCATTGCTGCCCTTCAACTATTCCTTCGCGCATCCATTCCTTCACTCAACCGTACACTCGTCCATTCGTGCGTTTAGTTTATGCGCTGCATTGGCACAAGTCATCCTGGCCATGAAGTAGAAGCCCTGAATGCAAAAATTATATGCAAACGATATGCATGGGTATATTTCACGACTCCCCTGCATCGCGCAGATATACACGCGCCTCGCGTGTGTCACCCAACCAATAGCCACGGGGAGCTACTCGCCAGTAGGTCTCCCCCGACTTCCACAGCGCGGTGGTTGCCGCCTGACCTTGTACTCACCCTGCTCCGAACCCGCTCCGAACCCGGTACCAACCCGGCTGAACTCCGGCCCTGGGGGTCTCATCGTGTGAATGGGGTCGCTGCTGCTGCACACACCAGTGTGCAGCGGATGCCTACACCCGCTGATGTGCGGTGGGTAAAGCGTGTGGTGGATAAGGTGTGCAGTAGGTAAGGCGTGCTGTGGGTAAATCGTGCTGTGGGTAAGGAGTGCTGTGGGTAAGGCGTGCATTATTGGGGGAAGGCGTGCGGTGGGTAAAGGTAAAGCGTGCGGTGTCGTGCGGTGTCCTGTTGCCTCCTTGTCCCACAGCTCCTCGCGTGGGAACGCAGCCGCCCCCACCACGTTTCCATGGCAGCAAAGCCTACGGTGGCCATCTTTGTTCTGTGCTTTCTCTCCCCCTTGCCTGCTGCTGCTACGTGTGCCAGTGGTGTGCATGCCCTTGCAGTAACCTCTCCCGACTTCTCACACCTCTCCCTCCCACCACCACCACCACCAGCCCCCCAACCCCACGTGTGGCCCCCAGACGGCATCTCCCGTTGGCACCGCTGAGAAACCGTAACACCGACTCACCTGGTGTGCGTGTGCATGCCCGCCGTCTAAACACATCGTAGGCGTGAGAGTGTGTTTCTGTGTCCGTGCGTGTCGAGTGTGAAGGTGTGTTTTTGTGTGTGTGTGTGTGCGTGTCTAAGTGTATGTGCTGAGTGAGTGGGGAACGGTAGTGTAGAGGTTAGGGCGCTGCGCTACGAACCCAGTGACGATTATCTGAACTGGTTCTAGGCCTCCCCTAGGTCGACGTAGCCTCAAATGAGTACCTGGTACAGTACGTAAACATCGCCACAAGGGAGACAAAGGCGTCCTCGTGTACCTTACCTGCCTTCATAGGTGCTCGCTAACAGCACTTACCCCGATAGCCTGTTAATGACTATACGGGGAAGCCTTTGTCTTTGCCTGTGTTACTAACCCCAGCGTGGCCGCATTAAGCCTCACCTCCACAGTGTGCGCACGTCACGGAATAAGGTGTGAAACGCTGACCCGCACCCTGATGATTCACATCTCTCTCTCTGTGTCTCTCCACATCTGCACGCACAATCCCATCCTTTGTGCGCCGCACCCAGTGCTCTCATCGCCACTTGGATTTCTCTGCTTTGGGAATAAATAAATAAAATTAAGGAAACTCACCGAAGAGCTTTTACCCTTGATGAGTCGAATGTTGCCATTAATACGTTGACATTTTATCCTATTCAATAAGCGCCAGCCGCTTGCGCAATAAAAACCCGCCACCCCACCCGTAAGATGCACCGAGCAGTATCTGCCACTTCGCGATCGAGTTACGTTTTTACAGAATCGCCGCCCGCTAATCCGGCCTTTCTTTTGTCACGCGATTTTTTTTTTTTTACAAAACGTTGACAGTAAACGATCGCATCATCAAAACGTTTCGCTCTGCGATTCCCCAGGGTGATCGCTTTCCATATCCTTAACGAACAGCGCGCACGAGCAGCCCGGGCGGGAGAGAGAGCGGGCGGCGCTCGCGGCTGGGGAGAGTGGGGCTTTTTGGGAGGGAGGCAATCGTGGCCGCCTGGGCGAGAGGAGGTCACGACCCTGGAGCCCCCTCGCCCATCTCCGAAGCTTGCACAGAAACCTCCGTGGCGAGACTTCCACGCGGCAGAAAACTTTTCACATTACGTTTTTATCGATCGGTATTTTTTTTCCACACCTGTCCTTCATTTTTTCCTACCGAGCACCGCCTCTCCAGGCACACCGCGTGTTAAGCGCGCGATTGCCGAACGTGCCGCATGCGACTCCCAGCGTGTCGACTCGAGTCTCAAGCACGCGCGCCAACCCCCGCCCCGTGCCATGCTGCGCCCTCGGAAGTTTGACTAAGCGCTGCGCGTGTGCTTGCGTGCACGTCCGGTCGTGCAGCTGCTGGCCTGGCCTCCGGACACGGCGGAGGAGGTAACCGTGGTGACGGTCGCCCCTAGTTACCAGGCGCCCATGCATGAGGGCGTGCTCACGGGCCTGCGCAAGTTCACCGAGTACCACGCCGCCGTGCTCTGCTTCACCACGCCGGGCGATGGGCCGCGTAGCGCCGCTCGCCTCGTGCGCACCCTGCAGGACCGTGAGTCCCTCCCTGCCCCCCCCCCCCCCCCGCTCCTTTGTATTTGAAAATGCGCAGAGGCGCCGGCCCGGCTTTTCTGAAAGCACCGTGGACCATCCCGGCAAAAGCCGGGACCTCTGGCCGCGTCGCGTACGCGCCACGCCGCGCCTGCGTCGCCGTGACCGTGCCGTCTGCGATTCTCACACAGGGCCTGGGCCGGTTGGACGACTCAGCTTCTCGGAGATCCTGGACACCTCGCTGCGCGTCAGCTGGCAGGAGCCGCGGGAAAAGAACGGCGTGCTCATCGGTCAGTCGATCGGCGTGCGCCCGCCACGCCCGGTTTGGGGAGGGGGGAGGGGGCCGGCAGGGAGCGCCAGCGGTTGGCGGCAGCGGCCACGGGGGTCGGCGCTCCCCACGTTGGAGAAGTCGCGAAGCGTGGCCCGTGGAACCGCGCGTCCCCTCCTCCGCGGCACAAGCGCGGTGTCGATTTTTTTTTATCGTTAGCCGAGAGGACCCACGCGGCATTGATCACGCGTTTGAAGTCTTTTGGTCAATTGGATGACTCGTATATCTATGCGTGTATTTTTAAAATATATCTCCCAATATTTTATATGCATTGCACATTCGGCGTCACGGCACAAAACAAAGAATCCGTTTGCGTCTCTCGCAGAGCAGTGCAACCCTAACGCATCGGGGAACGGTCCACTGAATTGGGTGCCGCAGAGCTACCTTTCAGATTCCTTCAGATATTCGCTTCGGTCTGTTAAAGGAAGTTGCGTTTAGCAACAACAACAATTACATAAACTGGTTTTGTCCGCGGATTTTTTCTCGCTGGGTTTTGCCATCGCACGTCTGCACCCAAATCACTCAGCCGCTTAATCCCCACGCCACCGAGTTCCGTCACCCGTTACTCTCCACGTTGTTGCTTCCGCCGCCGCCGTTAGCGGCAGCCCTTGACAACCGCAGATGGCCGTTGCGGCTGGCCAGCTGCTTGGTCACATGCTGCAGGGCACGGTGCGCACACCACCGCCAACAAGGCGCCAAATTGGCTTGCCAAATCAACCGTAGCCACACACCTGCCCATTAAGGCCCCGTCTGGTGCGCTTGGGCCTGCGTTGAGATGTTAGAGCAGTCTCATGTGACTCCCAGACTTCCTGTGCTCACAGCTCAGTCACCATCACAGTACCGAGTCTTCACTGCGGGTGGTGGCTGTGCACGTGGCCTGTAAGCCAACACCGTCGAGGCGGATCATCGCACACATATCGTGGAACTCCCTACCCTGGCTTGCCGGAAAAAATGGCGGTACAGCAAGTGTGGAATAACATCCATCCGTTCCACCTGGATAATGTTGCCCCCCCCCCCCCCCGCACGCGTGGGTTTCCTCACGAGTGCTGCAGTTTCCTCCCACAAGTATAACCACTCATTAATTGTTTGATAGCACCTTCATATATAGAGGGCCGCGGAACTTGGTGTCTGGTTCGCCGCGTTGCTGCTGCTGCCCCTTCTCGCTCGGCTGTGATTCCTCCTCCTCGTCGTCGTCCTCCTCTCATCTGGAGCCCAGCGGATGCTGTGCGGCAGCGTGTTACGAGTTGAACTATCATTGTTATTATTATTTAGTGGAAGTGACGGTGACAGCCATGGGAAGCAGATATAATTACCCCAGGGCTAGAAACTCTTTTTGAAACTCAATGACCACGACGCCAGCTCTCGGGCCAGTCGAATCGCGAGAGTGGTGGAGACAGCTCATTTACCCTAGCAAAGCCTTGCCGAGTCTCAGCACTCATAGTTTTTGACAGGAGGAGACGATGATTTCTACGTGATTTCCAATTGGGTAATTTTTTGCGACCATTTTTTTTTTTTACTGGAAGAAATTCGGACGACGACGCTGGCACACAATGCCTTACTACGCTTGGAAACCACGTCACAGGATCCTGATTGTACACCGTGAAGCAGACGGCGTGTGGTACTTTTTGCAGTTGGAACAAACGGCGCAATATTAAAAGAATCGTCGTGTGGCGTTAATCGGGGCGGCCGCTGGGGTTCGAACCGTTGAGCCTCCGCTAGGAGCGGCGAACGCGTTCACCGCCGTGCAGCCTTCGTCGCCCCTAAAATAACCGCACCGCTGGTGCCGCACAAATTGCCATACCCTCCTGAGACTCTGGGCCCCGGGCTGCCCAATGTGAGAACTGAAAGCCGTTTTGAGGAATGAAGGTGTGGAGTGGCGGCGCGATGGAGAGACCACCGGTTGTGTCTCTGTACGTTGAACTTCTTCCGCCTCCGTATGTAGCCAACCGTGCTAATCGGTGGTGCGGGGAGGGGGGAAGGACAACAAACTAAACACAACAACAAGCAGTTCTAAAGAAATCAGTTTCCAATCGTAGAATTAAATCTGCCCCACAAACCTGACGAACCGTGTTAAAAAAAAAATGAACGGCGAGTGAAATGCAAAAAATGGCGGCCGCCTCTTCACCGACCGGCACTGCCCGGTGAAGTATGGTCAAACATCCTCCGTGACCAACGTGGTGTGGAGGTGGTAGGCTTTCATCCAGCAGTGGATCAGAGAGCGGTCGCTCGCGCATTATTTTTACGCAACGTCAGACGCGATAGAAATTGAGAGCCGACGTGGTGACCCAGCGCCCCCTCGTGGCGTCTCTGCCCACGTGACAGGAGCGGCCTCGTGGCTCGCCGGTCACGGCTTGCCCTCCGGGTTAGAGAATTATTTTTAAAAAAACCTCTCCATTAGTGTAGCGATTGTGGGTCATCCAGAAGAGACCATAACAACGTGTGACGACGCAATGCCCCGATCCACAAATACATCGCAGCGATACACTCCGCTACTCCTGGCGCGGGTTATCCAGCGTGACCACCTCAATGTGAAACTGTAGTTGTTTGCCCTGCATCTACATCAGCAGCCGTACGAAAGCAGAAGAGAATTGTCCGGGATCGGAGTTGCAATGCTCTTTTTATTTTTTTTGTCCTGTTTTCACTACGTTGTTTGTGCACTCAGCCCAAACGTAACATTGCCATGTAAAGCGTGTACGCATTATATGGCAGCCTTGCCAGGAGCGGCAAACACGCCGTCTGTCTCTCGCGGTCGCGCCACCGGAGCTCCACGTGCGACCACGACGCCCCTCCGCGGCCCCTCTCCACACAGGCTACCGGATCTCGTGGGAGGAGCACAACCGCTCGGACACGCGTGTCACGAGGTCGCTGCCCAACGGCACGCTGGAGCTGCTGGTGACGGGGCTCACGGCGCTCACCACCTACACCATCGAGGTGTCGGCGGCCACGGCCGCCGGCCAGGGCCCCGTCTCCTCCTCCACCATCTCGTCCGGCGTGCCCCCCGGTACGGCGAGACGCGGCGCCGCCGTTCCGTCTCGGCGCGCGGTGTTCCCTCCCGGCGTCACGTGTCGCTGGGGCCTGCCTTGCACGCACCCCGTCGGGTTCGCTAGCCCCCCGCTCCCAACGGGCGAAGTCACGTGGGCTGAGCCCTGCTGCAGCTCACAACAGACGTCAGCCACCCCCATTCAATGCCAGCAATCAGGTGACAAATTTGAGCAGCATTTTTGCTGATTACCCCAACCGTATGGTTGCCACCTCATCCACAGTCCAAATCCAGACACATTTTGTCGGTCAGCCCGGGTCTATAAAGACTTTATGGTATCCTGCAATAAAGTTCAGCACGTTGCTGGTGCCAGATCTCGGTACGAATCAATTCCCGCCAACCAAACACAGACGCCAATTCCCATACTGTCCAACCTAATCTGGACAGGTGGCAATCCTACCCCCACCTCCTGGTCCATCATGCCAGCCTTAATAGGCGCTCGCTAACAGAATTTGCCGTGGGCAATCTTAGTAAATGTGTGTGGTCTTGTGTTTGCGATGCAAAACCATGTTTTTTGCGTCTATTCTAAGGCGCAGTGAGCACGTTGCGGAATAATCATTTGGCTGTGAGAATTGAGTTGTGATGGTTCGTATTGATTGGGTTAGGAGTGGGTGGTAGTGTGGTATTGTTGAGTGGGGGTGGGTGGTAGTGTGGTGGTGTTGGTTGAGAGGGGGTGGGTGGTAGTGTGGTGGTGTTAGTTGAGTGGGGGTGGGTGGTAGTGTGGTGGTTTTGGTTGAGAGGGGTGGGTGGTAGTGTGGTGGTGTTGGTTGAGAGGGGTGGGTGGTAGTGTGGTGGTTTTGGTTGAGAGGGGATGGGTGGTAGTGTGGTGGTGTTAGTTGAGAGGGGATGGGTGGTAGTGTGGTGGTGTTGGTTGAGAAGGGGTGGGTGGTAGTGTGGTGGTGTTAGTTGAGTGGGGGTGGTAGTGTGGTGGTGTTAGTTGAGTGGGGGTGGGTGGTAGTGTGGTGGTGTTGATTGAGTGGTGGTGGTTGTGGTGGTGTTGAGCCCGTCACGTGTGATGACTCACCCGCGCTCGCGTGTGCCATCGTAGAGCTGCCCGGAGCCCCCACCAACCTGGCCATCTCCAACATCGGGCCGCGCTCGGCCATGCTGCAGTTCCGCGCCGGCTACGACGGCAAGACCTCCATCAGCAAGTGGAGCGTGGAGGCGCAGGTGGGGCCCGCTCGCTGGGACGCGCCGTCCGAGGGGGACAACGCCGGGGGGCCGAGGTGGCGGCCAGACTTTGGTGACCCGTGCGCTGTGAAGATAGAGCCATTACCCAAAACGTCGGCTTCCGTTTGCTCCTCCTTTTTATTGCGGCGGTAGTATTTACGGATCTTATCGGGTTTTTCCTTGTTTTGGTGGCCCAGGTCCTGGTCTCTTTGATTTTGTCGGCGGGTTGAACAACTAAATTTACTTGAGCCAGGACAATTGAATCAATCTCAGAGGCGGCTCTTTGATATCCACTTCCGTGGGCTGTCCTCTAATGCACTCCTCTCCAGTGTGTTTGTGTTCATGGGACGAGGGCCACCAATCGGAAGGCGTCGTGTGAACACCGCCGCAGAAATTTGCTTACACAAGAGATGTTACGCTGAATGTGTGAAATCTACAAAACACTGCGGTAATGCAATTGTGATTTATACTCGCACATTTAGGCATTGACACGGCGAATGTTGCCAAATGTGTTTGCCAAAGCTAATGGAGTTCTGTGACTTTATATTCCACGCCTGTGTCTTCATCACCAAAAACCAATTCCAACCCAAAATAGTCTCATCAAAATCATCTCCAGCCTTAACAACCCTGCTTCTTCCTACACAACCCTGCTTCCTCCTGCACCACGCCGCTTCCTCCTGCACCACCCCGCTTCTTCCTACACAACCCTGCTTCTTACTGCACAACCCTGCTTCCTCCTGCACAACCCTGCTTCTTCCTGCACAACCCCGCTTCCTCCTGCACGACCCTGCTTCCTCGCTCGAGCCTCTGCACTCCAAACCCACCCCTCCCCCTGTCCACACACTTTGGTCCCCCCTTACATTCAGGGCCACCCAGAGGCCCCTGCAGGCTGGCAGCTGAAGGCTCCTGTGGCAAAAGAGCCAGACCCACTGCGGGAGCCTCTCCTTTGTGTGAGGCCCCCGGGGCAAGTTGCTCCCCCCCCCCCCGCCTAACTTACCAGCTTTTTTGATGGCTCCATCTGGTGCGGTGTCGTTCCCTCGTCCCTCGAGACTTGTTCACTCCCCCTTCACCGCTGCAGTCTTCACACCGCCTCCCTCGACGTTGTCCCTCGCTTGTGCCGAGCGCCTCGACGGGCGGTCGCTCTGAGACGCGCTCTGCACGGCCCGCGCACTCGGCAACCTCGCCAGGCTCTGCTGGCGCTTGCAACGTCGCGTCGCTGCGCCCGCCGCGTCCTCGCAGGGCGCGACGCGATGACGCCGCCGCAGCAGCGCCCGCGGCAAGTCTGACGGTCGCTGCCCGCTGTGCAGGTGGGCGTGGTGGGCGACAGCGAGGAGTGGCTGCGCCTCTACGAGCTGGACAACGAGCCGGACGCGCGCTCCCTGGAGATCCCCAACCTCACCCCCTTCACCCACTACAGGTCGTCCGCTCGCCCTGCAAACACAACGGTCCCCCTGTCCCACCGCCACCTCAGTGGAGCCGTACGGGGGGCTGCGGGGCAATAGTCGTTAGCGAGCACCTGCCAGTGGCACGGTGCACGAGGTGGTGATGGGTGAAGCCAGCGCTGGCGCGGCTCGGTAGTACACTGGAAAATAAATACCATAGCCCCTGAATTGGTCAACCGCCGCACCTGGTTAATTTGTTTTTTGTTGCTTCTGTTGCTTTTGTCCGACGCGACCACCGCGTGCCGCAGATTCCGGATGAAGCAGACGAACATCGTGGGCTCCAGCCCGGCGAGCCTCCCGTCGCGCACGATGCAGACGCTGCAGTCCCCGCCGGACCTGGCGCCGGCCAACCTGACCGTGCGCACCGCCAGCGAGACCAGCCTGTGGCTGCGCTGGGTGGTGCGTGCTGGGGGGCGGCCTTGCCCGCGCAACCGGGGGCACACCACGCCCACACCGCACTCACAACCTTGCCCACACCGCGCCCACGCCCCGCCCACAACCTTGCCCACACCGCGCCCACACCGCACCCACGCTACGCCCACACCATGCCCACGCCTCGTTGCACTGATAACTAAGAGCGGACAAAAGTTTGACCTGAAGATACTTGAAGCAGCTTCAAGTGAAAACTTCGCAGCGTCTAATCACTGAACGCGGTTGTGTGAATTGTTCTTCACCTCACCAGCGAGGTGAAGCAGTGTGATAATTGGAACGTTGCACGCTTGTGCACGTAACACATTTTATTTGTTTGACTATGTCGAACAAATTGGCCAGATCATTCTCGTGTCCTAACCCAAAAATGTACAATGCATCGCACTAAGTGAATTGACTGAACGAAACCTACAGCCTAAGCCTCGACGAGTGTTCCACAGGGTGTCCTCGATCAGACTAAAACTGTGACTCGGGATACGAGAGACGCTGACTGAACTAACGGCCGCTGTGCTCGCAACTCGCCGTGTCTCCCTCTGACCCCGGACGCCTGCACAGCCCCTGCCCGAGTTGGAGTACAACGCCCTGCCGGAGTCCGTGGGCTACCGCGTCCGCTACACGAGGCTCGGCGTGCCGCCATGGGGCCCGCTGTCTACGGCCGCCCGGCCCGGCGATGCCGAGCCGTGGGCCGGGGTGCTGGGCTCGCACGGAGAGGCGGAGAGCGGCGGTGCCGGCGGCGGTGCCGGCGGCGGTGCGGAGCCGGCGCTCTTCACAGTGGTGGCAGACCGGCTGGAGAGGGAGGTGACCCTGGAGGGCCTGGAGGAGTGGAGCGAGTACCGCCTCCAGATGCAGGCCTTCAACTCCATCGGTCCGGGGCCATGGAGCCCCGAGGTTAGGGGTCGCACGCGCGAGTCAGGTGAGCCTCCTTTTCCCTCCCTTCCTCCTCCCTCCGCCCCCCTCCCTCCTCCTTCCCCCTCCTGCCTGCTCCCCCTCCTCCAGCGTTGCGTGGGGCAGCCGACCGAATTAATACCAAATTGCTGCCGATGGCATCGGGAAGGCCTTCATCCAGCAGTTGTTAGATCATTGCTAATGATGATGATGACACGGTGTCCCCTCGGCTGCACTTGCAGTGCCGTCGGCGGGGCCCGTTGCCGTGACCGCGAATGCCACGACCCCCACGAGCATCACCGTGAGCTGGGGCCCCGTCCCCGAAGCCGAGCAGAACGGCCTCATCCTGGGCTACAAGGTGAGAAGTCGGCGCCGTGTGTGTGTGTGTGTGTATGTTGAACTTCCTTCGCATCGTACGTACCAACCGTGCCAATCGGAGGTGTGGGGGAAGGACAACAAAAGAAGCACAAATAAGTGGCTGAAAAATTACATTGCTCCAGCGGCTTCCTAATATCGGAAGGGGGAGCGGGGATGAAGCCGGGGCGTAACGACAAACAAACACGCTCGCTCCCTCACCGTCGCGCCCGTGCGCGTCGCACGCTGCCACCATCGCAGGTCCTGTACCAGGAAGTGGCGTCGGAGCGCGAGAGCGACCGCGACCGCGGCTGGGCCTGGCCCGAGGGCCGCGAGTCGCAGGGCGTCGTGGTGGTGCGCGGGAACGCGACGCTGTCGGCCGCGCTGGCTCAGCTGCTCAAGTACACGCTGTACGAGGTGCGCGTCCAGGCCTTCACGCGCATCGGCGACGGCCAGCCCAGCTCCCCGCCGCTCGTGCACCGCACGCTGGATGACGGTACGCCGCGCACGCCGACCGCCCGCACGACGTTCCCAATGACGTTCCCGACGAGATTCCCAACAACGACGTTCCGAACAATGACGTTCCGAGTGATGTTCCCAACAACGTTCCCGACGACGTTCCCAACAACAACGTGCCCAACGACGTTTGTTTCTTTTGTCGATGCCGCCGTTATCGCCGACCGCAGCGCCGCAGCGTCTCTCGCCCTCGGCCCGTAGGGTTCAATCGGCGTGGGAACCCCATCATACCAGCCCCGTGGCTCAGCGGGAGAGCGAGTGAATCGCAATTGGAAGGTTAACGTCCTAGTTGTTCCCTATGTACACCGTAGGGACGTAAACAGTAAACTGTGTATGTCCTTTAGATAGCTTTAATCTCCGTCATAAAAGTGTGGAATCTCCCTCTTTACTGGCAGCAGACAAATGCCAGTTTGCAGTTCCAGGTGCCGAGGTACACCTTGTGACGCACAGGGACAGTCGTCACGTGTCTCTTGTCTGTCGGCCTGCAGTGCCAGGCCCCCCGGTGGGCATCCTCTTCCCCGAGGTGAGCCGCGTGTCGGCCCGCCTGGTGTGGCAGCCGCCCACGGAGCCCAACGGCATCATCCTGGGTGAGGCTCGCGCTTGCACACACGCACGCACGCAGAGAGACACTTGCCAAGTGGTGTGGAGAGTGCTAAGTCTTGATCGCCTTTGCCACCCCAGTGCTGATGTTTCCACATGGCACAAGGTACTGATTTGAGGCTAACTCAACCTAGGGGATGCCCAGGGCTGGTTCATATCTTCATGTCCTTGGCTAGGGATCAGCTGAACTCAGGACCACTCCTTTGTTGGTCATGGGGTTTGTTTGGCCACACGTCACCGTGCTGCTCAATGCACGGGGGGGGGGGGAGAGGGGGGGGTAGATGCAGGACCGGTTTAGATGTCTCTGACCGGTGAGGTCATCTGTGGCCGGAAACGGTCATCAGGTCGCCGAGGTTGTAGTGCGGCACGCCGACCACTACGCCGCCGCTCCACACCTGCGCACGCACAGCAGCCATGTGCGGAACATCGCGCCGTGCATGCGGCTTGCATGCAATTTCATTCACAGGGAGCGGGTATGAGTCTCTCGGGCGGCCAGCTCTCGATTCTCTGTGGATAACGAAAATGGGGCCACACGTACAGCCGCACGCGTGGAGTCGTTAGGCGTGGATATCGAGGCGATTGTGAAGTTCCGTGGCCTCTGCGAAGGACCGTTGGATTTCAGTGATCCAGCCCGTGGATCCCATTCGTGGAATGTTCTCTCGAGCTCCCGCTGGCGGAGGCCCTTCCGCCAGCGGTGATTGCGAGTGAGCAATTGCAGGCCTGCCCCTTTGCCCATTATCTTCTACTCCTTCACCCCGTTTGCCGCGGGCGCCCGAGAAGCCGGCTGTAGCCGCGGTCGGTGGCGGCGCCCGCTCAGCCGTCGCCGCGGTGGCCTCTCGTAACGGCTCACTGACGGCGCCCGTCCCGCCGGGCGCGTGCGCGTCCCGGCACAGGCTACCGAGTGGGCTACCGCGTCAACGGCTCCAGCGTGGAGACGGTGCAGGAGCTGGACCCCTCGGAGCGTCAGCTGCGCCTCACAGGCCTGCGCCCCGAGGCTCTCTACGCCTTCCGAGTCACGGCGCGAACGCGCAAGGGCTGGGGCCTTCCCGCCGAGCTCACGCTCATCACCACGCAGCGCAGAGGTGCTCGCGCCGCACGCGCCGCACAACACACACGACGCAGCGTAGCACCACACACGGCGCACGCACCGCACGGCACAGCGTAGTACAGCACGCAACGCACACCACGCACAGCACGCGGTGTCCGACTTTACAGGTGCTCGATAACCGTACTTGCCATTGCCCCTGCAGTCCGTTAAAGGCTATACGGGAGACCTTTGTCTCTGTCCGTTGTATAGAACGGGCTGAGCCTCCGGGCCGCCCCGAGGTGCCTCAGAGCGGCGTGTGGGCGCGCAGCGTGCTGCTCACATGGGTGCCGGGCAGCGACGGGCTGGCGCCCACACGCTACTACACCGTGCAGGGGCGCGAGGTCCCGCTGGGCCGCTGGGACACGCACCACACGCCCGTGGCGCACAACGCCACCGAGCACGTCATCAACAGGTAGGCCTCCTCACTCTGCCGCTGTGTCGTCATCGACAGGTAGCCCTCCTCGCTCTGTCGTCATCGACAGGTAGCCCTCCTCGCTCTGTCGTCATCGACAGGTAGCCCTCCTCGCTCTGTCGTCATCGACAGGTAGCCCTCCTTGCTCTGTCGTCATCGACAGGTAGCCCTCCTCACTCTGTCGTCATCGACAGGTAGCCCACCTCGCTCTGTCATCATCGACAGGTAGCCCTCCTCGCTCTGTCGTCATCGACAGGTAGCCCTCCTCGCTCTGTCGTCATCGACAGGTAGCCCTCCTCGCTCTGTCGTCATCGACAGGTAGCCCTCCTCACTCTGTCGTCATCGACAGGTAGCCCTCCTTGCTCTGTCGTCATCGACAGGTAGCCCTCCTCGCTCTGTCGTCATCGGCAGGTAGCCCTCCTCACTCTGTCGTCATCGACAGGTAGCCCTCCTCGCTCTGTCGTCATCGACAGGTAGCCCTCCTCGCTCTGTCGTCATCGGCAGGTAGCCCACCTCGCTCTGTCGTCATCGACAGGTAGCCCACCTCGCTCTGTCGTCATCAACAGGTAGCCCTCCTCGCTCTGTCGTCATCGGCAGGTAGCCCCCCGCGCTCTGTCATCATCGACAGGTAGCCCTCCTCGCTCTGTCATCATCGACAGGTAGCCCTCCTCGCTCTGTCGTCATCGACAGGTAGCCCTCCTCGCTCTGTCGTCATCGGCAGGTAGCCCTCCTCGCTCTGTCGTCATCGGCAGGTAGCCCTCCTCGCTCTGTCGTCATCGGCAGGTAGCCCCCCGCGCTCTGTCATCATCGACAGGTAGCCCACCTCGCTCTTGTCACCACGGCGGCCCCTGCGGGCGCTGTCCAGCGGCTCGCGACCGCGTGCCGTACGACGCCACTGCCCTCGTCGCCGTCGTTCGCAATGACGATTCTGCCGCTGGCCGATCAAAGTACTCCCTGATTGGTCGCCAACCCACACGGTCCTGTGACGAGCGATCCACCGAGCGCGTCCGGGATGATCGTGTCGCTCCATCTCCGGATTTGGATGTCCCCTTGGAGGCGTTCCTTTTCTGGGCTGCCTCTCTGTCAGGATTCTTGACCCCCCCCCCTGGCCGTCACCCCTTGTGTTGTGTCCTGCCCGAGGCCAAGTTACTTTTGTTAAACATCAAGCTGATGTTTTTAACCTGTGTACGTTCTCTTGTCCACGTGCTCCTCTTGCCATCTCTCAACGTAGTTGCGAATTGCTTGCTTGAGGGAAGATGCAGTCTTCACCTTCTAGATATGTCGGTCAGCTGTGTCATGGGCAGGGATCGGCAACCAACATAACAAGAAGAGGCATTTTTTTCAAATTCGATTAAAAAAAACTAAATATTTAAAGAGCCACAATGCACGCAAATAGCGTCACGAAACAGTCCTTAAAGAGCCAACCCCTGGTCAAGGGGGAACAAGAAACGTGAACGCTACGGCTGAGGTGGCTCGTAGTTTCAGGGCGCGGAGTTGTGACGAGGGCCGCCTGCGTCCGTGGCCCACAGACTCAGGCCCTTTACCTCCTACGCGTTCCGCCTCATGGCCACCAACGACGTCGGGGACAGCGACTTCAGCCCCGAGTCGGAGGCCGTCACCACGCTGCAGGCCGGTGAGTGGGGCCGCTGGCCACGCAGCGTCGCCACTCGGCCCTCCTCCTCCTGCCCCGGAGTTTGTCTGCGATCGCGAGTGACCCGCTGGCGAGTGAGGGACTAGTGAGTGACCATTGAGTGACAGACCAGCGAGTGAGTGACCAACCAGCGAGTGAGCGACCAGTGAGTGAACAGTGAGTGACCGACCAGCGGGTGAGTGACCACTGAGTGACAGACCAGCGGATTAGTGACTAGTGAGTGACTGACCGGTGAGTAACCAGTGAGTGACAGACCCAGCGAGTGAGTGACCAGTGAGTGAACAGTGAGTGACCGACCAGCGGGTGAGTGACCACTGAGTGACAGACCAGCGGGTTAGTGACTAGTGAGTGACTGACCGGTGAGTAACCAGTGATTGACAGACCAGCGGGTGAGTGACCAGTGAGTGAACAGTGAGTGACCGACCAGCGGGTGAGTTACCACTGAGTGACCAAACAGCGAGTGAGTGAATGACCTTTGTCATCGCAGTGCCCAGCGAGGCCCCTGTGATCGTGTCCATCACGCCACACACCACCACCTCCGTGCTCGTCCGATGGAAGGTGGGTGCACTCTGCCATACTCTTACTCTCTCTCTCTCTTACTCTATCTCTTTCTCTCTATATCGTTCTTACAACTTAAGGTTGAAAGCACGCATGCATTAGCTGTGTCCATCGCTGGCCATCCGTCCATCCGTCTGTAATAGAGTGGGCGCCATAACGCGCATCAAGATCGTCCAACGTCAATGGAATTTCAGCTGAACATTGTTTTACACGCTTTCTATTAACTCACTCTGTCTGTTGTCGTTGTCGTCGTTGTATCCTCAAATCTTGTAACTCAATTTTAACCCACTTCCCAATGTGGTATCGCCTGCAAACTTGGTATAATTGTCATACTGATGACAAGACTATATTCGATCATAAAAAATTAAAAATATATATTTTTAAACGTTATTTTTTTATATGCTTTGTTTCGGCTCGGGTCTAATTGTCCACTGTCAACTGACGTTGGCTGTAATTGGCCACGGTCGCTTACGTTATTGCAAGCTTCGAGGCCACTTCCTGGAGTCGTGGAGTTCTTCCAGTACTAGTACATTTCATAAAAGCGTGTTTTTTAAAAAGTTTTTTTAAATATTACTTATTGCTGTGAGGGACTCGCCTGATTGAAAACCGGCAACGTTGGTTAAAGGGCCGTTGCCCTCATGATGGAGACACAAACCAGAGCAGAAGGGACAATTTACAAACACGCACGTTCATCCTGACGGCTGCCCATGCCCTTTGACCCTGCGTCACAGTGAATGTGATGTCACCTACCAGCGATTATTCTCTACTCCACGTGTTCGTCTGACTGTCTCTCAACGTCTCTCCGCGCTCCTTGGGACCGTGGCACGACCCAGTTTGCCGCTTGTAACAGACGTCCGTGGTTGAAATCTGGCAGGCTGCCCTGGTAAACACCGCGGCTGTATTAACCATGGAATACGACGCACGCTTTCATTCGCAGTGGATGTTAAAGGATCCCGTGACGCAATTCGTAACGAGGAGGCTATCGCATGCCAGAAATTCACACTCCAAATTTGCCAAATAACAAAAAAAGTAAAAAATGACTCAATTGGGATCCCATATAGCAACATCGCCCCCTGCTGGGAAACATCATTTGTATCTTTATTATTACTATTGCTACTATTACGAGTTCTATTTTACCAGGTAAGCCCAACTGAGCTATTTTTCAGAAGTGACCTGGCCACATATGATAGCTCATCGAAATGGCTTATTGTGTGGAAATTTATAGCAGCCAAATAATCTTAAACGCAGGTTTCTAAATGTGGAGGGAAAAACCGGAGGACCCGGAGAAAAATCCACGCGACCACGGGCGTCAGGATCGGGATCGAAACCACGACTGTGAGCGGTCGAGTGGGTTCAGGCTGAGCGAGGCTGCTGTTGTGTCCTCTGCAGGCGCCCCCGGAAGAGTCGGTGAACGGGATCCTGCTGGGCTTCCGCGTGCACTACCGGCCGCTGCAGCTGTACGACGCGCCGCCACGGCTGCCCCCTGGCGGCCGCAGGGCCCGCGACACCGCCGCCGTCGCCGCCGCCGAGCTGACGCGTGAGTGACCGCGGCGACGCGCCGGCAAGGGCCGGCTTGTCAGAGGGTTCGGCCCCGCGCTGGCCGTGACCGTTCACGCCTCGCGGCGAAAATAACCTGGGTTCGATTCCCGACTCGGGCGTCTCTCTGCGTGGAGTTTGTGTGTTCTCCCCCTGAGAGCGTGCGAGCGAGTGTCTGCGCGTGTGTGGATCTCTTGACCTGCTGTGAGCGAACCTCGCGACGCTTTCACGTGGCCTCAAAGTCCACCTAGTCTAGCACAAGCGCTATGGTGATGTCACCGCCACTCCGTGGCGAATGGCGGCCGTTGCTGTTGTTGTATTCTTTCCCTCTGTTGCGCATGGGTTTCCCCCCCTATCAATCAGAACGCGTCAGGTACATAGGCCTGGCGGATATTCGCGTACAGTTGTTTTGTGTCACCCAACGTTCTGCTGCGGGCCTTCGTTTTTGTGTGCAGTAAAAATCGCGTTGAAAATAAGAAAATTCCATGTAACCGGTATCGGCCAATACTGAAAGAAACTACCTGCAAATTACTCCGTTGGGATCACAGCAGCAGCAGCAGCATCGCTTGCTGACTGCGAAAACGTTGCAAGACCCTTCTGCAAAAAGAGACTTGAGGCTCAGTGAGGCTCTGACACTTGCTGATGTTGCTACCGCTGCCGCATCTGCGTCCTAATACATGTGCCGTGTGTGTGTGTGCACACACGCGTCCTCGCACGTGTGTGTGTGTGTGTGCAGCGCGATACCTCGTTCACACGCTCAACGATTCCTCGTCAACGCAGCACGAGCTGGAGAGTAAGGGCACACCTGTCGATCTTCCATACTTCTCCTCTCTTCCTCCATTGCGTTTCCGCCGCTCTTCATTTTGCGAAATAATTTTAGCCGAGACTGAGATTGCGACCCAAACAAAACTCGCTGACGATGTTAACGCCGGTTTTCCACGACGCCAGCCCTAACGCGCGGAACCTCTCCTCCTCCGTCCCTCTGTCCCTCTGTTCCTCTCCCTCCATCCCTCTGTCACTCTCTCCCTCTGTCACTCTCCCTCTGTCACTCTCTCCCTCTGTCACTCTCTCCCTCTGTCACTCTCTCCCTCTGTTCCTCTCTCCCTCTGCTACTCTCTTCCTCCGTCCCTCTCTCCCCCTGTTCCTCTCTCCCTCGGCCGCTCTGTTCTTCTGTTCCTCTCTCTCTCTGCTAATCTGTCCTTCCGTCCCTCTCTGCCGTGTCTTCCTCCCTCCGTCCCTCTCTCCCGCGCGCTCTCCCTGGTGTTGCCCAGACCTCACCAAGTACCTTCGCTACGAAGTCCGGGTCACGGGCTACAACGTGATGGGTGACGGCCCGCCCAGCCCGCCCTACGAGGTGTTCGTCGGGGAGGCCGGTAAGAGGCTCCGCCGCGGCAGCGACGCGGCCGGGCGACGCCTTGTCCCGCCGCTTTGTCGCAGAGATTCGCGGTTCGGACAACGCGGCCGCCCCGGTTAATACTGCGGGCGCCGCGGTAACAGTGAGACGCCACGTGCCGCCGCGTTCGATTGCTCGCAAATTACTCACAAATTACTTAGTCGCGTTAGCAAGCAATCGCAGGGCTGCACCTTTAGCGCTCTGTACAACCGAGAACTATGCACTCTGTCACTGTATCGTTCCTTCCTTGTTCTGATTGAACGATCGCCTTATTCACGATCCCACAGTGCCGACGGCACCCCCGCAGAATGTGCAGGTGGTAGGGTCCACGGCCACTCAACTGGAGCTGAGCTGGGAGCCTCCACCGCAGGACAAGCAGAACGGGGACATCCAGGGCTACAAGGTGACGTGCACACGCAGAGAGGCCCGCGGGCGGTCCCACAGTGCTGAGGATGCACACAGCGCCAGAGCTTAGTCTCTCACTGAACAGTTTCTGGGTGGCTGGCACACTGAAGGAGTCTTGTGACAAGCGGCCACAGCCGTGTCATGGTGGAACACGGTGAGGAATCCTGACAAAGCGGCGGCCGAGGAACGGAACGCGTCCCAGGCGCTGCGTTGATCGTTACATCGCAGGACCATGGGAGATGGCTGTGGCTTGAGGAGGCTTTCGTCCAGTAGTGGATTCACCATGGCCAATGATGCTGGTGATGATGAGGATACTTGATGTGGTGTGCCTGTTCCGGTGTGAGATTAAGTCCTCCGCAGAGCTCACGTCCGTCTCCTCTGCCTCGTTTAACCCTTCGCCAGAAAATCGTAAGTGGGGCGGAGCGGTGGTTAGCGGTCTGCAACGTGAACCCGCCCACCTTGGGGGGTGGGGGGGGTGGGGGTCCAGGTCCCGTCACGGCTAACTTCGTTGGCGAGAGATGCCTGAACGGCTCCCGTGCCCGTGGGAACCTAACGGGGTTGCACCGTGCGGACCGCGCGCAGGCGTACTTCTGGGAGACGGCGCGGGGGAACGCGTCGCAGCGCGTCAAGACGCTCTTCCTCCCGGAGACGAGCATCAAGCTGCGCCGGCTGAGCGGCTACACGGAGTACGCGCTCGCCATCGCCGCGTTCAACGCCGCCGGCGACGGGCCCCGCAGCGCCCCGCTCTCCGCGTGGACCGACTCCGCCGGTACGGCACGGCACGCGTGGAACGGCGGCGACGATGTTGGCAAGCGCGATGGCCAGCAGAGACGCGCGCAGATACACGCGCTGACGAACGTGCCCATCGGCACGACGGCAACCACTGTGAATCGTAGATAAGCGTGCTGCACAACTCACCGACGAGCGAGCTGGAACGATCATAATCGACGCTTGTGCCACTGCGTGACGCTCGGCCGCGTCGCATCGTGGAGGGTCTTACGACATAAATGTGGCCTGATCGTTACGTGGCCCAACCCACAAAATTGTTTACAAATGACCAAACTCTCCATCACCTGCTCGTGTCCCCCCTACCCCCCTCCTCGCCCCCTGCCTGGCGAGCAGCCCCCTCGGCCCCAGGAGCCCTGAGCTTCTCCGAGGTGACGACGTCGTCGGTGAACGTGTCCTGGGCCGACCCGGCCGCTCCCAACGGCATCATCGACGGCTACCGCCTCGTCTACGAGCCTAGCACGCCCATCGACGGTGCGGCCCACCTCCCCCCGTCGGCCTCCCTCACCGGCCTCCCCCCACCACCTCCCCCCGTCGGCCTCCCTCACCGGCCTCCCCCCACCGCCTCCCCCTATCGGCCTCTCCCACCGGCCTCTCCCATCGGCCTCCCTCTCCGGCCTTCCCCTTCGGCCCTCGTATTACTGACTTATGTATCTAGGAGAGCCACGCCAAGTCATAGCACTCTTTTTCAGGAGGATCCTGCTGCTGCATTGGGTTTTTACGTTAAGATGTTTGCTGACAATTAATGACGAGTCGTGTTTATAATCCACAACGGAGGAAACTCACGCATTCAGTGGAATGGATAGAAACCACAGAGGATGTCGCGTAGTATGGCCGCTTATCTATGTGTGTGGGAAGCAGAAGCGTAGGTGGTTTGGGCTCCGTGCTGCGCTCCGAACCCCGGCGCCTTGAGTTCGATTCCCGCTCACGGCCAACGTCAGTTGCTGAACGTCTGAACCGGTCGTGGACCTCCGATAGGTCTGCTCAGCCTTAAACTAAAACCTGGTTCGGTATGTGCGTGTGTGAACACCCGCTTGGGGCGTGGGCCCGTGCACGCAGGCGTCAGCAAGATCGTGACGGTGGAGATTCGGGGCGAGGGCCCACGCTGGCTCAAGGTGAAGGACCTGGTGGAGGGCGTCACCTACCACTTCCGCGTCAGGGCTCGCACGTTCACCTACGGCCCGGAGGTGGACGGCAACGTCACCACGGGGCCCGGGAAAGGTCGGGGCTCTCGTTCGTTCGTTCATTTGACCTCGTGCTCACACCACAGGCTCGCGCGTCCAACGTCGCCGCTGCTACCAACCACTCCCTCGTTTATCCACCCGCTTACCCACCCACTAGCTCACCCACTCACTCGCTCATCTACCCACTCACAATTGCCAACCCACTCACCTGTTTATTCACCCACTTACCCACCCACCCACTAACTCACCCACTCACTTAACCACCCGTTCACCTACCCATTCACGCACCCACTTACTCAATCACTTTGTAAATTCCCTCCCAAGCTCGTGTAAGTAATAACCTCGCTAAATACAAGAGGCATTAAACCTTCCAGCGGGCCCCTAGGACCGCGGCGCAAACAGCCCGGACCACACGCGATGCTTCCCGGGTTTGTCTCTCAAGCGATTGTAATGAAATGCAGCGGCGGTGTTGGGAGCAGCGCAGCTACAGGAAGGTTGGGGGGGTGGGGAATGCGGCGGCGCTGAGCGGGCGCTGTGGGGCTGTGTGCGCAGGTGCTCCTGGCCCACCGGGGGAGCCGTCGGTGACGCGGTCGGGCGGCTCCATCGTGGTGCACTGGACCGCGGGAGAGCCGGGCGACAGCCCCATCACCGGATACGTCGTCGAGACCCGCGCGTCTGGTACGACGAAGGCGCTCGCAGCGCCGGGCGGCAGGGGCGGCGGCGGTGGCGTGCAGAGCGGTGACGTTGCAGTCACAATTTAGCCACATTTGCTCACATTTAATTTTTTGCCTTTAGCTTGTTGTCATTTCCCCTGCACCTCCGATTAGCACGGTTGGCTACGTTCGGTGTGAAAGAAGTTCGGCGTACATACATTCTAAAGCGACACCGCGAACCACTCAGTCGGGATCACATAGCAGCGATTATCGCCCCACTGCTCGCAGAAGACTAATGCCCGCTTGCAGGCCAGGTGCTGAGTCCACCTTGTGCCGCACAGGGATAGCTGCCGCTTGGGGTGCCCATTGAAATGTGTTGACATGAGATGTGATGCGAGTCGCTTATCGCGTGTACATTGCACTGAGATGCCCCGGCATGAAGGAAGGCAGCTCTGTCCAAAACACAGATCATCATTATTGTAACTGTGTCTGGTGGAGGAGTCACATAACATACACAAGAGGAAAGCCCCTGATACGTCCTTCACTAGGCCTGGCTCAAAAACCCTCCTGTGGAGGGTGGCCGCCATAAGGTGAAGAGGGGGTTTGAGATTAGGAGGCTGGAGATTAGGAGGCTGGAACAGGGGCAGGGAGGTGACAGCTCGGATGGTTTGGAAAAAGGGAGTTCCAGGCTGTGGAGTGGTCACGGTGATGGTAATGGTGGGAGGTGTTGTGGTATTGGCAGTGTGGCGGTTGTGGTAGTGTGTTGGTGGTGGTGTGGTGGTGGCGGTGGTGGTGGTGATGGTGGTTTAGCGGAGGTGGTGGTAATGGTGACGTGGTGGTAGTGTCGCAGTGGTGATGGTGGTGTGACGGAGGTGGTGGTGTGGCGGTGTTGGGGGTGGCGGTGGTTGTGATCGTGGTGGTGGTGGTGGTGATGGTGGCGTTGACGGCGGTGGCGACCCGGTGTCGTTGTGCCCCCCTCCCAGACGAGGGCTTGTGGGACATGGTGGTGCGAGACGTTCCGGGCGACGCTCGCTCCGCCGCCCTCAGCATCGACACGCTCCGCCGCGGCATCAGCTACGACTTTCGCGTCATTGCCCACAATGCACTGGGCTTCGGCGCCCCCAGCGTTCCCTCCCCGTCCGTCTCCGGTACGTCGTCATGGCCCGACTAGGGGCTCGCGTCCGTCCCTTTTTCGTTCCCACGCGTTTATTCAATAAGTTACTCCCGAAGTGAGGAACCTACCGGTTCATTTGACACGGGGCCCATCACCACATCGTTTGTTTGCATCCGTTATTTAATCAGAAGATTAAATAAACCCATTGAGACACGCGGAACAACATCACCTCTTTTGCAAGGGTGACCTTACAAGGGCTACCTATCGTCACTGCATCCGAGTCGTAATAATCGGGTACTGGAGGGGAGTGATTTGACCCTGGCGACAGCCCTGAGTTTCTTCCATTAGCGCTGATGTGAAGGCGAAACCTAATTATGCGCGCATCAGTCGACACCCTGGACTCCCTTGTGAGGGAGACATTCCATCGCAAGGGATTTTAAAGGGTGAAATATTTGAACTAATTGATAAAAATACGCTAATGTTTAGCGGCGACAGCGGTGTTACGCGAGCGTGTGCAAATGCGAGGCCCTGCGAAGGTTTTTGAAAGTGCTCTGTGCCCCCCCTAAAGTAAGGAGGAGGTTCCACCACCACACTTAATGTTTGCGGCCGCTTGCGAAGAGAAAACTATGGGCCTTGCCCGCCGCAATCGCACGGCGCACGTGCAGAATGTTCCGTGTGTACAGGACATCCGTTCATTTAGCTACTCCACAACCTTCGTGTCGACCGCTCCCCCCCCATCCAGAGATGTCATTGCGTTTACGCGCTCCATGCAACACGTTCGTATCGCATCGTGCGGCGGTATGTTTTTGCATGCGTCGTCGCATCAGCGCGACTTAGAGCTAGCTCCATGCCCTCAAGTCGCCGCGCCACCGCGCGTTGCGAGTGGGGTGGATTTCCACCGTAGCTTCTAGGCGCTGCTTTTGCAATTGGGCATCACTTTTGCGAAACACCGCTGCCCAAAGCTCCGCCCACAACCCCCCCCCCCCATCTCTCTCTCCCCGCCATCACCCCCCCCCCCTCCCCGACGTGGTTAATCGCTTTAAGTCAGCTAGCCGGTGTCCGGCTCCGGCCGGGGGTCGCGTGTCGCTTGCGTCGTGCGCCAAATTCACTTGAACCGCGTGCGCCGCAGCGCAAATGGGAGCGGCGTTCTACGAGGAGTGGTGGTTCCTGGTGGTGGTGGCGCTGACCAGCCTCATCCTCATCCTCCTCCTCGTCTTCGTGCTCATCATCCGCGGCCAGAACCAGAAGTACTCGCGCAAGTCCGACTCCAGTGAGTTGGCGCGGTCACGGCCGCGATGGCGATGGGGCAGCTTCCCTTGGAATTGGATGTAGAAAAACGTCAGGTTGGGCACCACCTTTAAAGGCTGATGTGGGGCGGTGGCGATGATGTGGTGGGCCGCGGCGGTGGTGGGGAGCAGTGGGAGGGAGTGGAGAGGAGTGTTCGTGGGGGGGGGGGGGGTATGGAGGAGTGGAGAGGAGTGGGGAGGCGTGTGCAGGCGGGGTGGAGTGGGGAGCAGTGGGGAGGAGTTCGGAGGAGCGCGCCTGAGTGTGGAGGAGTGTGGGGGAGTGTGGAGGAGTGTGGGGGAGTGGGGAGGAGTAGGGAGGGCAGGAGGACCGGAGGAGTGGGGAGGGCAGGAGAAGCAGAGCAGTGGGGAGGAGTGTGGAGGAGTGGGGAGGGCATGAGAAGTGGGGAGAGGGAGGGCAGGAGGAGCGGAGGAGTGGGGAGGAGTGTGGAGGAGTGGGGAGGGCATGAGAAGTGGGGAGAGGGAGGGCAGGAGGAGCGGAGGAGTGGGGCTGACCCCATCCAAATCGCACGCCACACATTTTTAATCGGTGCTCTCAGAATCAATTTAAGATGCCAAACAATTTATAAATGAACTTAAATTAGCCATTTAAAAAAAAAAATTCCAAGTAAATATATTTATTTAGGTGGGGGCACCAACCCTCTTTTACTGGCATCTGAATATCACCAAAACCGTGCCGTGCCAGTCGTAGCCTGACCGGTTGATGGTGACACCGCCGCGGCGGTGACCGCTCGTGTCTGTGCTGCGTGTGCCGTAGGCAGCACGCCGCGCGCGGGCGCCAACGAGGAGATCACGAGCCTGGAGGGCGGCTTCACCACGCTGGAGCTCAACAACCGCCGCCTGTCCGTCAAGACCGCCCTCTACAAGCGCAATGGCACCTACGCACGGTACGACGGGCCGCCCGCACCGTCCGCTCTCCCGCTGGGGGGGTGGGGGGGGCAGCAGTGGATCGATCATGGCACGGCTGATGGTGATACTGCTTCATGGAGCTGCACGGCGCTGCTGCCGGAGATGGCGAAAGCATGGAAAGGCCTTGAATGAGCAGCGGATGGAGAATGGTTGGGCAGTAGCGTCATGTCCATTGAGTGTGCAGGCGGTGCGACCGCACCGTTCCCCACGGGTCGGAGGAGCCAGAAGTGGGAAGTCGGGCTATGAAGAGGAGTGGGGAAAAATTGGACAGTGGTGGGGGGGTCCATTTCATTCCTTGCACCAGGTCCAATGGCAACCACTGGGGCACCACCGCCCCATCCTCATCACCGCCGTCGTGTCTTCACCGCTGTGATATTCAATGTCGTCAGGTGAACCCTGTGCGGATTGAGAATGGCTTATGATGATGTCGACGAAAGGTACTCGGTTGAGGAGCTGAATGGCAATGAAACGGCGTTTTTTTGTTTTGACAGCTCCCCTCCGCGCCCCTCGCCCGGCACGCTGCGCTACTCCGACGAGGACCTCACCGCCAAGTACGAGGTGACGGCGGCGGAGAGCAGCAGCCTCACCGAGAAGCCCTCCGAGCTCTCCGAGTCAGAGGTCAGACGCTCGCCCGCCCTGCCGCGTTTCCACAACCACAGGGAGAGGCCGACCCTGGGCGTCCCAATGCTAAGAGGGCCACGTGAGGGTTGGTGGATTGCCGCAGCACAGATGTTGCCGTGAAACTCCCTTCCCATGGGCGACGAGGAGGAGGCGCCACGGCAAACGGACATCTGTTACCATCTATGTGGGGATCGAGCGTTGCGCCCTTGCGCCAGGCATGGGTTTTCTCCTGGCGCTCCGGTTTCCTCCCACTTGTATGATAAACACAACTCATCATTAATTGGCTGAAAACATCTTTAAAAACCCAACGGAGAACCCTCCTGAAAAAAGTTTTACAACTCTCAGTATGGCTTTCCTGGATAAATAAGTCATTTATTATTATAATTATTGTTATTACGTGGTTTCGTGGGATATTTTTGTCTCGTGTCCCAATGGCATGCCACTTGTGTCCCCCAGTGTCGTGTCACAAGATGAAGAATCCATTCAGAACTCTCTCTGAGCAGTGTGACCGTTTGTGTTCGAGAACGGCCCACAGAAGTGGCTATCAAAGAACCCACCTCTAAGATCCCTTCAATTGAACAATGGTCCATATATATTCTTAGCTCTTTCGGTAAAGTCACGTTGAAGGGAAACAATAAAATAATAATAATGTTTTATATATTTATTTTATTATTTTATTGTTTCCCTTCAACGTGACTTTACCGAAAGAGCTAAGAATATGAATTACTGCAGTCACGAAAGCTTTAAATCAAAATTTAATGGTCCATATAGTAGGCGTCAGTCCTTTCCCCCCTGATCTGCTATATACAGAGGTAAAGTTCTTTATTTGAAAGTAAACATTGATTAATTCTCACAGCTGGACTTTATCCAAATTAAGCTTAGAATTAAATGCCACGGTAGGAAAGTGGTTCTTTCCACAGCCACTGGTGACCGGGCTGAGACTGGCCACTCGAGAACTCGGTTAAAACCTGGATTTGAACCCAGAGTCTCAGTGCCATGATCTCTGAGACAACCCAGCCCACCTCATTAGGTCTCCCTTCTTGCAGGGTTAATTTTGTGAACAAAAGTGGGCACGGATATATGAATCGGTGAAGGTGTTTTTCCTTGTAGTCAACGATGACTGTGAGCAGATGAAAACCATCAGGCAGATGATGACGACGACTCAGCACTACTACCACCACCATCATCACCATCATCATCATCAACACCATAATCTGCCCACCAAAGTCCAAAGCGTGACCGACTTTGATAACATAAAATGAACGAGTCTGAATGAAGATGCAGTCGCAGATTATTTACAAACGTCATTCGAGACCGCGGTACACTGAGGAAGACTGGACGTGGTGATTGGCTCTGTGTTTATAATAATATTTACTGAGTTCACCGATTGGCCGCTTTAGCCGACCGGACTTAGAGAACCACTCCATGAAGGTCACAGACTGAGTCTATGACTGACATGCCACACGGGTCATTGTTGACGTCAACCAGACTACGACCAAAACGAAAATAAAATTTAAAAAACGCTGACCCACATCTCTGCTGCCTGCGTGCCGTTCGTGCGGCAGGCGAGCGAGGAGGACGACTTCGGCTCGGACCCGGTCAAGTGCAACTCCCACTCATTCGTCAACCACTACATGAGCGAGCCGGGCTACTACAGCTCGTGGCGACGCCAGCCCAAAGGGCTGTCGCGATCGCCGCAGCCGTGCGGGCCCTACCTGGCCGACGCGGAGCACTCCGAGTCGGGCGAACGCACCCCGCCGGCCCTCACCCCCTCTCTGCCCCACCACCACCACCCCCACCACCACCCGCACCACCACCCCCAGCACCACCCGCACCACCCGCAGCACGGCATGTACGTCTCATCGGCCACGGCCTCTTCCAACGGCCCTGCCGGTGGCGGGGGCGGCGGTGGCGGCGGCCCGGGGAGCGGCGCCGCCAGCCCGCTCGTCGGGCTCTTCGTGTCGGCGTCAGCGAACGGGTTGGGGCCCGGCACGCGGCCTCCGGTGGCCGGCTTCTCTTCCTTCGTTTAAGCCGAACGCCGAGACAACGCCGAGATTCGCGGTTTCCTGCGGTTGGATTTGACGCGATAGTTAGGATCGTTACGACGTTCGTTTTGTACGAAGGAGCCGGGTTGGCAGGGTTTTTCAGGCGAACCAGCCTGGCGATGGAATGCGTGGCGTAGTCGTGAACTCAAGGCTCAATCCCAATTAAAGTTCGTGTCGCGAGTTGTTGGGTTTGTGTTGGCGCTGCTGGAACCCGCGCAAGAAGGCTGCGAGCAGGCGTTTAGGCTCCTCCACGCACGTCCAAAAAGCTCGAGCGACAGGATTTTTTTTTTCCCGCTGCTCGGACCCTGCCTCCGTTCACGGCGCTGCCGCGGCTCCCTCATGGTCGCTCGGTGCACGGACGCGCGTCCCCATCGTGCGTGCGAGACCTTGGTTCCTTGCCACACGTCGCTCGCCGGCGCCGACCTCTACGACCTCTACGACACGCCCGATTGGCCGGTAGCACGACCGCCGTGCGTCGCGCCGTGCTGTTCACCATGGACTCGCGAGGGGTGCCCCTCCCCCGCCTTCCGGCGAGGTGGAGCGCCCAAGATACAAGATTATCGCGCGTCCTGCCGAGCCAGCCCGGTTCGGGCTCCCCACCCACGGGGTCGGTTTTATTTTTCTAAGTTTCACGCTCGCGAGGCGCACGTGGTACGCGCGGGAGGTTCCGCGAGCGGCTCGAGACGGGCAGGGTGTAAGCACTCCGCCCGGGACGCGCTCGCGAGTATACCCACTCTGCACATGAAGGAAAGTTTTCACTGGTTTGTAAAAAAACACTAAAATGTCAAAAAATATATAAGATATATATTATAAAACTGCAGTGTATAGAGCACCCTGCAACGTGCGAGCAGCAGATGATTTATTTTTAACCGAGGGGTGTGTGTTCGGAGAGGAGAGTTTCAGCGAGTGGCGCTTCGTGGGAAGGAGGAGAGGGGCGGGGGGATGGATGAGGTTGAATCGACGAGGGTTATTTTTGCGCGTCGTTTGCTCGGAACCGATGTGCCCGCCCAAGCGGGCGCACGCGAGTGCATGGCGTCACTGTAAGCACGTGCGTTAGTTTCCTGTATTCACCTTGTCGGATAAAAAAAAAACACTAATCAATGTGACAATCTGTGAGATGCCTTGGATTGCAGACTTTGCAATAAGAGTATATATGTGTGTGTGTTGGCTGGTACAATGCTTATGTACCTGGCTTGAGTTGATTTAGATTTTAGATTTTTTTTTTTACTTTTTTAATGTGGCCATAGTGTATGAACACGCCTGTCAGGATGGCTTCAATCGGTGCGGGAGCAGCTCGAGATTCTATGAACGGACGTTAAGTTCAGAAGTCCGAAACTAAGACAAGGTCAAGAGGCCATCACAACCAATGCCATTGATGGGCATCTGAATGTGTCAGCTAAAGAGACCCTTCCTGAGCAGGGCTTGATTTCTCACTGAATATGTTCCATCTCGCTGCCACGTGGCAAGTAGCCACGGCCACATTGGCAGGAATACTGGATGTGGTGTGCCGGGTGGGGAATATTTTCTGTGTCGCCATCCCAGACAGAACCGGCCGAAATTAAGGCCTGGCCTCTAGCGTAGTACAACGACCAAAGACTCAGGGGGCCTTCATTAGGATCACCGAGATCACATTGGCAGAGGTGTGCCTGTTGCTCATTGCTCCACCACCGTCACCATGATCATTCCGCTGTTGGATGAGGTCTCCCCAAGCCGTTGCCTTGAGTAAGAGTGCTGCGATTTAACAATCCACCCAGCACTTCCACACACAAGTTTATTTCCTCTCGATCAACCAACGAGACAACGGCACTGTCAAACCGCCAGACATCAATGCAACCGAATTGCCAGTAATCACGGCGCGGTTCTCTTGATTAGGATCATTCAGCAGATAGTAGAGGCACGCGTTAACTGAGTTCACGGAGCATCACTTTGGAGAGATGCACGCTTGAAATTACATCGACAGCCGGAGAGTGGAACGTGTGGATTCGAGAACATTCGCGGGTTACGTCCACAATTGAAGCTGTGAAGAGAGTGGGCTCTGGCAGGACGCGTCGGGACGCGTCATGGCCGGATGGGGCGACGGTCAGGGCCAGCGATGGAGCGGCAACCACGGAGCGATTCTTGCCCGAGAGGACGTTCCGCCGTGGAGGTGGAGCGACGGGATCGGCTCGCGTGTTGCAGGTGCCGGGTGGATCATCGCAGCATCGCGAGAGGTGGCGACCGACTGGGAAGGCCTTCATCCAGCAGTGGATTGATGATGGAGAATCAAATTCACTTGGCCTCTGTAACTGAACCCCCCCATTGCCAACATGTCTTAGGTGTGAACTTTGTGAGGACGTGTCACCACATTCACCGATCATCGTTTATTTGAAGTTGCCTCCCTCGTTTACCAAAGCTGTTATTGTTACCTGTGAGAAAGCAATGATGATCTTACACAACGAGTTCCCGTGTCAGGAGACTTGAAGACAAGCCCAGACGTTTGGGTATCCCCCCCCCTGCCCTCAACGACACCCCACACCCTCCTCCCTCCCTTCCCCCGCATGGGATTGAGCCATGTTGACAGGTAGCTGTTACAACACCGACAAATCGACAAGGGTTGTTTCTGCTTTGTCTTAACGCGCCGTGCTGTTATTTTGTAACGAAGCCGACCTAGGGGTGGGACCTGCTGATTGTGCGTCTCGAGGAGTTCTGTGCCGGTCCCGTGACGACTCTGGGGAGTCACTTCGCCGCCACGTTCCCCGTCGCTGTGTCGGGGGAGGTGGGGATCGGGGAAGGTCGGGGGGTGGGTCAAGCGGGTGGGTGGGAAATTCTGTGGACAATTGGGAGGTGACCGGCTAGTACTGAAACTTAAAGTTGAGCCCATCATCTACTTTGTACAGACGTTTCATTATTTTATTGAGACAGTCGGGCAGAGGGGGGGGGTTATTTCGTTTGTTTTGGGATTTCTCTATCGTCGTAGTGTCACCCACCGTTCTACTCTTGTTCCACCGTGACTCCACCATTCATTCCCGCTTGCCACTCGCTCGCCGTATACCTCGCAGCTCTCTCGATATTCTTTGAGTCTCATCACACGCGCGGCGACGGCGATGTTCAACATAATTTCACAGTTTCGTAGCAATGTGTTGCAGGCGGTGTGCGTGCGTGCGTGCGCGTTGCATTGCCCGAGTAATGTTTTGTTTTATTGTCGCATAAGGTTTGTCGTTTTAACTTGAAATCAAGGCTGTGAAAAAAGAAAGAGCTGGTCCATTTCTGGGGTCTCCCATACCAACCACGCGTTTCTGTCCCGCTGCCGGTGGTGTCGTTGCGTGCGTTGCGAGCCTACCGATTGAGGGTTTTCATTGAGGATCATAAATCATATTATTATTATCATTGTTCCGTTTTCTATGGTTGTTGATGCCATGCTGTTAAAGGGTGATGTTGCATGACCCGTGTGGAGTGTGACCCGAGTGAGATGACACAGCGGAGACCCCGGCCTTGCGTTGTGGGGTGGGGGGGCTGAACACGGAACGGGGGATTTTGAGTTTGCCCAGAGTGGAGTGTACAAATTAAAGTGTTTTGCAATTTACTTTTCTTCGCGTTGCCTTAATATTTAGGGTCCAACCAGCGACAACGAGCCAGCTGGGTCCAGGAAAGGTACAGTAAAACCTAGGATTGCGACCATAATTCGTTCCGGAAACGTGTTTGTAATCCAAAGCACTCGTATATCAAAGCACTCGTATATCAGTTGTGATCACGTGACGCTCGGCAGTACAAAGCGTATACGTACACTAGTATTGCAAGACCTCGCTCGTTTATCAAATTAATATTTATTTAAACATTTTGCTCGTCTTGCAAAACACTCGCAGACCAAGTTACTTGCAATCCAAGGTTTTACTGTATCTCACTACCGTCGACCATGTCCATAATAATAATATCTCAGTATCAAAGTATTAAAAACAAGAATAGGGTTTACCCGTCTTTGGCAATAAAAACAGTCGTTAAGATGTTCAAACACCAAATAGATAGCCTTTTCAGAGAATCAAAGTTACTGCACTAACCACGCTTACCAGAATGGGTTAAAGCCTCTTCTTATTTGTCACACTTTGACACTTGCGAAAACGGTCCCATGATGTAGCTGCTCACCCCGAGGCTTATGAATGCTGTCGCACGCTCGTTGTCTTTGTGACGCTCGCCCTTTGGGCGTTCTCTGGCCTGACACTGGTGAGACTAAAGAAGGCGATCTCTGGCGGAGGCCAATCAGGTTTAAAGACAAAGCATATACAGTATAATTATCAGAGCATGTTTGTTTCCATGTTCACCACAAGCGCGTGTGGTTAATGCAGACTTGATTCCTCGCAAAAGGTATCTATTTGATGTTTGAACATATTGCTTGACACCTGTTGTATTGCCAGAAAGGGGTAAAAACCTATTAGAACATTTTTCAATAATAATAACATCACTGACGTTCTGGAAAAGACGAATGAATACCGAATGCTGTACTCCCATTTGTTTAACTTGGGCAACGAAACCACGACAAGGGAAGACGGTAGTCGATTTAACAAAACTTGCCGATTGCAATGGCATCCACAGGGGGGGGGGGGGGGGGGGAGAGAACGTGGCCTACAGGACGAGCAGTGGGGAGATGGAGTGACGAGGAGCAATTGATACGCAGGTTACGGATTTTGGCATCGCAGCACCATGAGGCGTGGTGGTGGTGTAGTTGGTAATGGTGTGGAGAGATGGTGTGATGGTGTGGAAAGATGGTGTGGTTGGTAATGGTGTGGTGTCGTGTGATGGTGTGGAGAGATGGTGTGGTGTCTTGTGATGGTGTGATGGTAATGGTGTTGAGAGAAATGGTGTGGAGAGATGGTGTGGTGTCGTGTGATGGTGTGGAAAGATGGTGTGGTTGGTAATGGTGTGGTGTCGTGTGATGGTGTGGAGAGATGGTGTGGTGTCGTGTGATGGCGTGGAGAGATGGTGTGGTGGTAATGATGTGGAGAGAAATGGTGTGGTGGTAATGGTGTGGAGAGATGGTGTGGTGTCGTGTGATGGTGTGGTGGTAATGATGCGTAGAGAAATGGTGTGGTGGTAATGGTGAGGAGAGATGGTGTGGTGTCGTGTGATGGTGTGGAGAGATGGTGTTGTGGTAATGATGCGTAGAGAAATGGTGTCGTGTCGTGTGGTGGTAATGGTGTGGCGAGATTTTGTGGTGTCGTGTGATGGTGTGGTGGTAATGGTGTGGAGAGAGATGGTTGCGCGTGATGGTGTGGAGAGAGACGGCGTTTTCTCAACTTTGCTACGCTGCCGATATAGGACGGGATCGGGGCCCTTCGGGGTGAGCGTGACCCGGTAGCGCAATGACACGGAGCACGCATCAAAAATTGGCGCAGTCTAAATACAACGACGTTGATTTCACGCAAAACAATTTCAATGGTGAGATATTTGCATCGGTGGTCCCCCCCCTTCCCCCACAGCCTACTCCGCAACACACCAACCCGCATTGATCATAACGGTGAAGTATGGTCAAAACACTCCCCAAGACCGCTGACAGCGCACGTCTATGGCGGGGGGCGGGCACGCCGAGCCCCACGAGGCGGGCCACGTTCTAGGGGGCCGCGCGCTCCGTCCTCGGCCGTGGCGCTCGGACGGACGGACCCTGGGCCTCGGGGCAGATGAGGAGAAGGCTCTGTGGCCACGGGGATAGGGAAGGAAGACCCCGGAGGCTCGGGAAGGATACGCGAGATGGGAAAGAGAGGGGTGGGGGGCAGCTGGTTTGGTGGGGGGCGCCATTCCCCACTTAGCTTAAGATTATTTGGCTGCTGTAAAATTCCAGACGATAAGCCACTTCGTTCAGCTTTCATTTGCGGCCAGGTCGCTTGTGAAAAATAGCTATGAGGCTCGGTGGGTCTTAGCTGGTAAAATAAAAAGTCGAGTTTTGTGGCGGTAACGTCACCACGACGCTCGTTCCGGGCCAGGTGCACTCAGAGGTTACGTGAAGTGTCAAAGGCTCGCTGCTGACAGGTCACGAGACAGACCCAGGTGCGATGGGTTGACTGGGATGACTTGCACATGCACCACTTGTGCCCCCTACTGCGTCAACTCGCTGTATTTTAGCCACCCGGCGCACCGATGGTTGTTGTGAGCGTCGCTCCCCTGCCGTCCGCTATTGTAAAAACTAATATAAAACGTTTTATTTTACCAGGCAAAGCTATTTATCTATTTTTCTGAAGCGACCTAGCCACATTATAGCTCCAACGAAGTGGCCTGTTATGTGGAAACTTATAGCAGGCATGATACTCTAAACGCATATTTCTAAATGCGGAGGGAAAACCCGGAGGACCCGGAGAAAAATCCACGCGACCGCGGGGAGAGAGAGAGACGGGCAAACTCCAAATATACAGCAGCAGGCGTCAGGATCGTGATGCAACCCACAATCTGACGACCTCCTGCATACCAGGCGAGGTGGTGAACATCTCCCCACCGTTGGAGGGCGACTTCCTCCCAACTGCTCGGTAGCGTCCTTTGGGGCCGCCCATAAATGACGTCACGCGATTTTGAATTTTTTTTGACCCCCCCTCGTCACGCGGCGTCACAAAAAGCCCGACCCCCCCTCAAATATGACGTCACAAAGCTCTGCCCCCCCCCCCCAAAACCATATTTCCATTTTGAAAATAAAACATGCTTCAAATCGCTTTAAACTATTGTCATTGTATTGCGTATTTAATGTGGCGCTGCACTCTGATGTTGTAGGAGAAAACATTTATTAAAAAGTCTATTTAATGAAGTAGAACGTGTTGTCTATATTGATTTAAAGTTGCGCATTTTGATGTGACGTCACACTTCTCACCCCCCCCCCCCTCGTCACACATTGTCACAAATATCTGACCCCCCCCCAGGTGCGTGACGTCATTTATGGACGGCCCCTTTACAGGCCTCCTCCTCCACAGAGGCCGATCTTGACACGGCCGGTACCGGCCATCGGCAAGTTCAGCTCGCAGCTCCACATCCCCCCTCTCCCCTAACCCAACACACAACTTTCACGGGACACGTGCAGCTTGCGGTGACGGGGGCGTGGTCTACAACAGGGGCGTGTTCCAGTAAAGGGGGTGGGGTCTATAGCTGAGGGCGTGGTCTATAGAAGGGGCGTGTGTCTATAGAATAGGCGTGGTTTAAGTGTAGGGGGCGGAGTCTACACGCTGAGGATCACGTGGTGCAGGCAGGCTCTGGACACCTGCACGAGATGGCGGCTAAGTCGGGTGAGTGTTCTCTCCTCGGGCAATCGCCTACCGAGTAAACCACGGCTTCTGCACGTTAAACTGCACGCTTGCTTTCTTTAAACTTATTTATTTTAAATTGGACATTCTCGTCGTTTTACTGAGGCGACCAGAGCCGCGGTGGTTCGGGCGCTCCGCGTCTGGTGCGAGGAGACGCAGGGCCCGCGTCTGCGGCCTAGGCCAGGCGTGACCCTGAACGAGTCACCTCTGTGCTGCGCGCACCGGTGGCCACATCAGCGGCCGCAGGGCCACAGTCACCCCCCCTCAAACCATCACGGGGTTTAGCAAGTCCACCACGGTGTCTCTCGTCTACCCTGGGCGGCTCCCGCGTCGGTCGGTCGGTCGGCCGTGTTAATTCGACTTTGCCACTGTGGGTGACCGGTCTGTCCGTGACCACCGAATACTGCCCTCTGCCGCAGTGGTAAATCTTAATATCGCTGTCAAAGTCTCTCACGATATTAAGATGTTAGTCATTCATTATAGTAACGTGCGGAACGAGCTGATTCCATAGCTCCATCTCCCAGGTAGATGTGTACCCGAACGCGTTCCATTCCTTTACTGCCAATAGCGTCATCCCTTGACCATCGCTCATCTATGCGGTGAGTGATTAAGCGTTCGCGATTATACAGCCATAATTGCTGTACTCGTAAACAATTACAGTTAAAACGAGACCAAGGTATCCCTCTCCATCTACCCTGGGCGGCTGTGAGCGCCCGGGCGTGTTAATTCCACACTGACATTGTGGCTGACCGGTCTGTCCGTGACAGCCAAAACGAACAGTCACGGATTTCATGGATCGACGGAAGGGATGATGGGTTTTTGTTGGTCGACCAAACTTGACCCGACAAATGAAAAGTCTGCATTGCTGCAGAGAGGGTGTAAGTAAAGGTATACTGGAACAGGAATACGAAGCAGGGTTGTCATCCTGGCTTTGGAGACGGACCGAACGCGAAAGATACTCTCCCCCCCCTCCCCCCACCTGCTTTACATTGATTGACAACCCAAAGGAAATGACTGGTACAAATAATGGGAAGCTAAAAGAACAAACTTCAAATGAAGTCTATTGAAACGACCTTAGATGGTGACATTCACAGGGCTAAGGCCGATACAATTACGGCAGTATAATCGTTGGCGTGCCCGCTCAATATAATACCGTCATGTTTATAGTATATCAACCCACTGCTGGATGAAGGCCTCTCCATGCCGTGTAATTCGTAGGTTCTTTTTCACCATACTTCACGCGAGTCGTGAAGATTGGGGAGCATAGACGCGGTGGCATAGAAGTACAGTACAACACATTCTTGCTGAAACT